GGGAAACTAAAAAACCACGTACACAAAGAGAACAACAGCCACACGCCACGGCTACACAACATAAACCCCACAAGAACACGCCCATTTTAGGTGAGGAGCGCACTAGTAATGAGAGGGGGGGGGGCGACGCACGCGCAAACAAAAGACGAAAGAAAACTAGTGGTACCTGGTGTGGTTTCTACCCCACCGCGTGTCCATGCTCGAAGCATGACAAGGAAACAAAGCAAAGCGATTCAACAGACCCGCAACGAACATCATCGCGGGGGGAACAGCGACTGTAAATAATGAGACAGACGGACAGCTAGAATACTATTGAAACAACGTGCGTGCTCCTTAAGGACACCAACAACAAAACAAGGCAGCAGCAACAACAACGCCCGCCGCCGCGCCCCCGGCTCCCCATCAGTTGAGATCGAGCCTGCCCCGTACCCCCCCCCCCGTCCTACTGCCGCGATCGCCACTGCTCGTCCAACAGGTAGGCCAAGGGGACCGGCCGAGGAGAAACGCCTCCCTAGAACAAATCCCCCTAGTCTCCCACCGTCGTCGAGCAGCAGTCCGCTGTCATCGCCACACGGTGAGCCCTACCATGGAGCCGAGCCCCGCGCTGCTGCCGCTGCCGACGCTGGTCCCCCCGGTGCTCGCCTCTCCCCCGGATCGGCGCCTCTGGTGGCCTATCCTAGGAGGCAAGTCGCCGGTGAACGGGACTTCGGCGGACATCCTCCCTCCGAACAAAGAGAACCGCTCCTTCACCTGGGGACGAACGTTCACCGGGAAAATGAGAGGTAGGAGCGACACAGCGGTGAGGGGAAGACAGCCAGCGAAGGTTAACGCTGTTCGGAGTGGAGCATGGAGAGGGCAGACACAGGGGGCGTTTCGTCTTGCATGCCTTGCTGTAGCTGTTAGACGTAAAGTAAACAAACGACGGAAGCATTATGGAGGGGGGGGGGGTCGAATTTCCTTCGAAGAAGCGTTAGACGGTACAATATCCGTCTTGGGAGTGGCAGCCTACGAAACAGAATAGACGGAGCCCAGCACAGACTTCCCCCCTTGCACACCCAACGCGAACGTCCATCTAGCGAGGAAATAAACGCCGCCGCCGCTGTCGCCTCCCCTCAAACGCCTCATCATCTCGGCTCCACACACCCAACTACTCACCGTATTTGCAGCAAACTCTGCCATGTACCGGAACCTCTCCAACCTTCGCGCCGCCCTCTCCCGCTCCGCCGTCGCCACCGCCGCCGCCTCCGCCTCCGCGCTCACCCCCCCAACCGCCCTCCTCGTGTCCTGCACCCGCCCGCCACCGCCGGTCCGTAGCCGTTCGCTTGCCGGCACGCGCCGCCGCCACGCCGACATCCTCCCGCTGCTCGCGGCCCTGCAAAGGCGGACGGCGCGGGGCGACATCGGCGGGGAGGCTATCGTAGCTCGCCGGGCTGCCGTCGCGGAGCCGAACCCCAGGCTCCGCCTGGGCAGCGAACGCAGGACGTGGGAGGACGCCCGGGGCGGGGAAACCCCGCCGGGGGTGCCGCTGCTGCTGCTGCCGCCACGACCTGCACCGCTGCTCCGCAATCTTTCGGCGGCAGCGCGTACGGCAGGCTCGGTGGTGCTCGATGGCGATGATGCCGGCGCCGCTGTCACGTCGGCGTTTCTTCCCCGTTGCCGAGAGCTGCTTCCGGGCGTCCCTCTGCTGCCTATTGGGGCACGCCCGGCGGCGCCGTACTGCGGGGTGCCGTTGCCCGACGCGCTTGCCGCCACCGCCGCCGCCGCCTTGCGGCCGTCGCGTCGCCGAGGCCCGCCCGATCTTCCCGCGGCGGCGGCGGCGGCGGCGGCGTCTGGATTGCTCGCGGTGTTGGAGGACGACGGGGCGGCGGCGGCAGCAGCGGCCATCCCAACGGAGGAGTCGCTGCGGCTACGGCGGCTGCGGCCGTCCGCATCCTTGCTGCCGGTGCGCCCCAACGTACGACCCGCCGCCGGCTTCGCCTCAGCGTCAAAACCGTCGTCTGTCTTCGGAGCCAGGACCGGGCTCCTGCTGCTGCTGCTTCCGCCGCCGGTGGTGGCGGCGGCGGCGGCGCGTCTCCGATTCCCAATCCGCGCCCCCCGCTCGGCAGCAGCACCAGCAGTAGCCCCCTGCCTTCCCTTCACACCGGGGGAAACACGCCTGCCGCCCTCCGTTCGTTGAGAAACCGTCTTCTTCGGGGAGAACTCTCGAGCGCCGGCCTTTCTTCGTCGACCGGGGGTCGGAGTGGCGGAGGAGGACCCCGGCGTGCCGGACGTGCTCCCTGCCCCAGACGAAGATGCCGCCGCCGACTTCTTAGCTCTCCCCCGGGCGGCGTACGGGCTCACTCGAGGAGGCGTGCTCGGCACCGCCGTTCCTGCTGCTGCTGCTGCTGCTTTGCGCGCTGACGCAGGGGACCCTCCTCGCGCCTGCTGCGGTGAAGACCCTCTCGACGAACCGGTGCCGGCTCCCCCGCCGACCGATTGCCCAGATCGCCGCGGCGTCCCCTTGCCGGGGCCACTAGCCCCACTAGCCGAGAGGGAAGAAGAAGAAGCCTTCCCAGGAGACGCCGAAGACGGGCCTTTCGCCGCTGGTCGAACGCTCGCGCGCCGGCTGCTAGGGGCCGTCAGCCTCGCCGCGGGGCTCGACCCCCCCCTCCCTCTAGCAGGTCTCGCCCGAGAGGCCCCCTTCCCGCGGCCGCCGGATGAAGATCCCCCGAATAGCGACACCACAACGCTGGGCTGGCGTCTCCCAACGCTATCTGCTGCTGTTGGTGCTGCTGCTGCTGCTGTTGTTGTTGTTGCTGCTGCTGCCTCGCTCTTTCCTGACCCCCTGGCCCCGCTGCTCTTCGTCGAGGTTGATCCTTTGCCGGGCCCGCCGCCGCCGCCGCTGCTGCCGCGCTTGAGGGGTTTTCTGTTGAGGGAGGCGTTGGCCTCCTCCTCGTCAGCGGCTACGGCGGCCACACCCGGCATGCGGAGGAGGCGCGCCGCCCCTTCTCGCTTCGCGCGGGCGTAACCCTGGGGTGTAGCGAGCGAGACCGAGACGGAAAGGGTTCACAAGAAGGGGGAGGGAGGACGACCAGGCCGGCGGTAAGAGGTGGGTCTCTCGATTTACAGCCATTGTTCTTGATGAGGACGGATGGCGACAGGCTCCAACAGTTTGTGCTCTTGAAATAAAAACAGCCTCCCTCCTCCAAGAAACACGCGTCGTGGCTAGACTATGTAGGCCCGTAGTTCAAAGACGGCAAAATTCGGAAAACATCAATGACCAGAATTTTGGTATTGCCCGGGGTGAGGTGATGCCACGGAGCCCCCCATCGCAAATGGGTGCAAGTCGTGCAGTAGCAGCAAAACTTGCTGTCGTAGAACATGGTCGTTAGGGAGAAACCTGGCCGCGACACGCTCGCCTTCCCCATGTACCGCCCGCCCACAGAACAGCTGACACATTTAACGGGCTTCCCCGATCCGTGTTGTGGTCAGGCAATGGCTGTGCCCATGCTCCCACCGTCACCAAAAAAACGACATCCCTCTGAACCAAGAACCTGCAAACTCCACAGCATCCCTTGACACAGCAGTGAACGTGGCCTTCCTCCTCCAAGGCAGGCGGGGGAGGGGGCGAGAGCACACGCTACCCAAAAACACAAAAAGAGCAGCACACCGTACCCCACCTGCTCTCCCAAGAACAGCGCCATCGCCTCATCGTGGGCCTGCTCGCTCTTGGCAAGATGCTGCCGTGCCGCCGGCCCAAGCTGGAACGCCGCCAATCGGTCTTCGAACCCTCTGCTAGGCCTCCTGCAGCCCCGTTCCTGAGAGGATGGAGTGCCGGCCCACGTTCCGGCACTACTGGACACACTCACCGCACTGGTAATGATCGCCACGTAGGGGGGCGGGGGGGGGGGTAGAGGCATGCAGGGGAAAGTTGAGGGAAGGTCATGGTGTCGGGCGGGCGTTTCACCACCTCAATGGTGACCGCAGTTGCTGAGGAAACGGGTAGTCGACAATAACAACAACAACGTCACTACAACTGCCACCCTACCTTCTCTCAACCAATCGCCATCAGCCAATCACCATCAATCAACCACGATCCAATCGCCGTCAACCCAACACCATAAACCAAATCAATCACCATCAACCAATAGTCATCAACCAATCACCATCGGCCAATCTCACCATCGACCAACAACCCTCAACAAATTACCATCGCCCAACCAATCGACGAATCACGATCAACCAATCACCATCAACCATCAATCTAATCAACAAATCGTCGTTGAAACCACCTCTCCCCCAACTCAAGCACCGAAACCCCCCGCTCGCTTACCTAGCACCCCTAGACAGGGATGGCCTAGCACCCAAACCCTCCGCCCGTCCACCGCCAACCCGCGCCCCTTGCCTCCCTTCCTCCCCCCCTGCCCTCCCTCCCTCGGCACCGGGCGGCGGATTGTTCCGGGAAACGTTCCCCGCCACTGCGTTCGACAAGTTGTTCTCTCGGTCGTCATCGCTATCGTTGTCGTTATCGTCACCTCCGCCGCTGCTGCCGTCGGGGTCAAAGCCAGACATGTCGACCGCGTAACCGTCCACTGGTTTCCAGCGATGGCTCTGGAGAATGCGTTGGTTGGTCATTGCGCGAACAGAACAAACAGCGCGATAGTGTACGGCGCGAGATGACGTGTGAAATACGAAATACCCGGAAGCCGCACAACACTTTTGAATCAATCGGTAAATCTATCTCGTGCTCTGTATCCGTGCAAGAGCGAAAATTGTTGTGTTACTTGTAAGAAAACAAGGAAAAACACCAACAGACGCCGGCAGCAGAAACGCGAACAACGAATGTACCAACTCTCTACATAAAGACCTCTGGGCCAGCGGAGGGGTCAGTATACGAGCTCATATTCTTCCATCTACGCCAACCTGTAAAATGGTGAGTTACGAGGGCAAAGAGACCGAGGTCGGGACGTCAGTCAAAGACGTCAGGCGGAGGGGTGCCAACACCACGCAAGACGGGTTACAGCAGTATCTGCTGCGGGTGTGTGGCGCGAGTCTCCTCTCACCTTCGGGTCCAACCAGGCCGTCGGCACATACATAGGCGTGTACTCAGCTAGGCTGATGGTTTGGAAGCCGCGAGTTCGTTTGGGACGTCTTGAGATACAACAACACAAGGGAGAGAGAGAGGGCGGGAGAGAGAGAGAGAGAGACAGACAGACAGACAGACAGACAGGAAGACAGACCGTTAGACATGCCGAGACAGGTAGATAAAATGCCGAGAGACAAGAACAGTTGGGGTCCAAGAGAGTGTATTGTACCAGAGAACAGCAAAAAGTCGCACGAGCAGCCAAAGAGGAATACTAAAAAGCCATGACATAATCACAGAAACCAGTAAGACATGAAACATTTAGCGGGGCTGGAAACAAGCCTCTTCACGGCGTCGAAACCCCCAGGGTCAAAACGATCGCGCGGGCACCGCACACAAAGGACAATACAGGGGTAGCACAGGCACAGCAGCAGCCAGCAAATCTCAAACAACAACATACGCGGCAAGAAAAGGTCAACAACAAACAGACAGACGGACAGCCCCCCCCAGGTTGTGAACGTCTGCGAAAGAACGCGGTAACATCTCCAACAGCAGTTAGTGTAGTCTTCCTCTGTATATTTCCTGTAACAGAAAGAACGGCACTTTTCGTTGTCTTCAAGAATACTATATTGTAGCGTCGAGCAGCAGCCCCCACCCACCTGCGAAGCTTCGAGCCCCGCCGCCGTTGAACGGGCGTCTCTCCCCCATCCCCGTCCCCTCCGTCCGCCGCATCCTCCCCGCTGCTCGACCCCCACCCCGCATCCTCTCGCCCGCTCGCCACCGCCTCGTCGCCTCCCCTCCGCTTCAGCAGCAGCGTGCGCTTCGAGCCCAAGCGCGTTATCGAGGTCATCGCGTACGTTCGGCGGTGTCGACGGCTGCTGCTGCTGCCGCGCTCCCCCCCGTGGCTGCCGTCGCTAAGGGTAAGCTCTGGGGCGCTCCACGCCGACTGCTCGTCGCTAAGGTCCAGCGACGCTCCTCGCGCGGCCGCGGCGAGCGGCGGGGCCGGGGCGGAGAAGATGCCCTTGTGTTGTCGGGTGGACCTGCTGCTGCTGCTGCTGCTGCTGCTGCTGCTGCTGCTGCTGCTGCCGTGGGTGCTCGGGGCCCCGTGTTGGTGGTTTGACTGCAGGGGGGAGGGGTGGGGGGGCGTACATCGGGTGGAGAGCCGGTTGTCAGAAAGAGAGAGAGAGAGAGAGTCAGTCAGGGGGAGGTCACAGATAGGACCACCTTCGTAAACTTATCAGGAATAGAACAGGGGGGCGGTACGCAGACCCTATCCCTATCCCCAACCCAACTTCCCCGACGACATGCTTTATTCAACGGGTTTACTTAACAGAAAAACTCTGGGAAGGCTACTGCACAAGTAAAGGGGGGGTGACACCGCTCGCTCAACAGGCACGGACGGCGGCGCTACTTTCTCGTTCGATGCAAAGGACAACCGGATATGTCGACAAATGGTCTGTTGACAATCGGCACGTTAACGCTGTGTGTGCCAGCAGCGCGACATGTGCGTCTCATCTGACACGAACAAGAACATCAACATTCGGTCGGAGTAAACAAAAAAACGTCGTCTTCAACGACACTCGCGACAAAGCTGCCAACACCAAAAAAAAAAATGCAAAAAACCAAGGGTGCAGTATGAACCAAGGTAAAGCCCGACTGATTTCTCCACAAAAAAAAAAGCCTCAGCAGTAGAGTGATGCCGCCGCACATGCGCTCTTACGGTTTCATCGAGCCCATCCGTGTCATCAGTCTCCTCGTCGCCCTCTTCCAGAGCATCCTGCGCCCGCCCCCACATCGTCCCCGGCCCGCCCGTCTTCGGAGTGAGCACGATGCCTCCCACGAAGTCCGCTCCCCAATCGTCCACCGAGTAGTCCTCCGTGGACTGTGATCGACAGAGCCCCGACAGGCATCGAAATTAGCACCCGAAAATCGATCAGGGGGAAAGGGTGTGCATGTGCAGTGCCAAGCGTTGTGTCGCTTTCGTTACCGGCAACCGCGCGCTAACCGGCCAAGCGATGAAAAATACGCAGCAAGAGTTGCGTGAAATCGTGTGTCAAGAGCGTATGCGGTGGCAAGGGTTGTGTGGGTATTGCTGTAGCAGCGACCGGTCTAACGCCTGAGCAATGAAAAGGCGTCCAAGCGCCTGCTGCGTGATTGTGCGTTAAGCGCGTCGGCGAGAGTGAGCGGTCGCCTTTGCGAACACCGTATAGATTCCAGGTGGAGTAAGCGCTTTGTTGGGAGCGGTGGCAGGGGAAATACCATCCCACAGCGAAGCTAGTCAAGACAAAACGCAAACAGTAACAAAATCAAACGGCCTTTTCTTACCACCTACTTTCAAGGGTATTGTCCTGCTTCCCTTCGCATACTTTCTGCTCGCCAGCCACGCCACATCAAAAAAGCTACACCAGAAGACTAGTAAACAACACAAAAACGCCTCTAGACTACATAATGCAGGTGCTGTTGTCATCAGTTACACACCTTCGTTCTGTGCGACGCGCTCGTGCGTGCGTCGTTTTCTCCTCCCTCCGGAGCGGGACCCTAATCGTGAGCACGCGCCGCCAGCCGAACGAGAGACCAAAGGGTTGTCAATAGACATCATCGTATCGTCGATGCGTGTGGCGTGTTTTTGAACCGTTTACAAGGACCACTAATGAAGTCATCATATTGCGATGCAGGTAGGGGTTGTCTTCAGTTCATTTCAGAACAACACTACCGAAATTAGATCGATGCGGCCAGATTGGTACGGCGAACTGCTGCATGTGCAGACCCTGGGAATAGGTTCAGGTGTCCCAAGCTTCTGTTGAAATGGCAGAACATAGCACTAAACACCACGAGCAATGCCAGCAGCTATGCATGATGACAAAGGCACTGCCTCCATCTGTTTTGCTGCAACAAAGCGAGGGATAAAGCTATTGTTGCGCACGACGGTCTGCTCAAGCGAACACCATATCCCCGACTGCTGTAGCTCGCGCCTGCGACGCTATGCCGCACGACATGCAAGGCTACGGCGAGCGTCATCAGCATCAGCAGCATGAGCATGAGCATGAGCAGCATGAGCATGAGCATGAGCATGAGCAGCAACAGCAGCAGCAGCAGCAGCAGCAGCAGCAGCAGCAGCAGCAGCAGTAGCAGCATCAGCATCAGCATCAGCATCAGCATCAGCATCAGCATCAGCATCAGCATCAGCATCAGCAGCATCAACATGAGCATCAGCGGCAGCAGCACCCCCGCCAAGACAAGCTTCAAAACACCTCACCTCTTCGGTGGACCTCTGGTAGATCCTCCGAGAAATAGTCCGAATCCTAGTGCTACCGCCGGTCGCCTTCCTCCTCGACTCCTCCCGCCCCGCCCCACCACCGGCCGCCAACGCCGCAGACCCCACACCCGTTGTCGACTCCATCGTCTCCCCCGCCGCCGCCGCCGCCACCGGCCCTAAACCCGCGCATTCCGCCTGCCCCCCTCCGGGGGACCCGCCGTCTGCCGAGACCACCCCTCCACTCATCTCTGTCGCATGAGCAGCCGCGCGCGGGGAAGCGTGTCTCGAGGAAGACGGCTCCGCCGCCGCCGCCTCCGATGGCGGCGACAAGCCCGGCGCACCGGCAGCGGGAGGAGAAGCGGTAGTGTCTTCGGGGCAGGAGATCATGGTCGCCATAGCCTGCTCCGCCAACCCCGCCGGGGTAAAGAGCACGGGGCCGAACGAAGGTCTTATCAAGCAGCCTGCCTTACCGCCGCCTATAGGCTCGCCGGCCACCGCGTCCAACCCCTCGTCGGGGCCCTTGAGAGCCTTGGGAGCCATGAGCATCGCCGTGGAGAGGCGGCGCATGAGAGGCACCTGAGACGGGTCGGGTGCGCCTTCGACGAGCAAGTCGGGGGAGCCGGGGGGAGGGCTCGTCAGGCTCCTGAGGCTCCTGTCCCAGTCGCTCACGTCGTCGCTCAAGTCGCCGCCGCTGTGCCTGCTGTCCGACAGGCTCAGCGGAGCCTCTCTCCCCGCGTTGCCGCTACCGCGGCTACTGCCGTCCCCCTTCTCCTCTTCATCAGCCCCACCTATTCTCATCGGGCCCAACCCCGCAGGCTCCGCCGCCGCCGGCACCGGGGACACCATCACCTCGGACGCCACGCTCGAACCTCGCCGTTCACCGGCGGCACCTGCCAATGCTTGCACCGCCGCCGCCGCCGCCGCCGCCGCCGACGGCGCCGCCGGCGAGTCAGACCCCCGCTCCTCCCCACGCCGCCCGCCGTCGCCCTCTTCCGAGCCTACCACCACATCGGCCACATCGGCAGCACCCCCATCTTCGCCAGGCGAAGCCTTCTCGTCGTCGATCTCCAAGCCGCCACCGCCATCGCCAGAAGGCCGGAGAGTGTCGCAGTCGCCGCCGCCGGTAGTAGCAACGGCATCATCCGCCGTCCCGGACGCCGCCGCCGCTAGATCAAGCCCTTGGAGCGACGCCGAAGACGAAGCTGGGCCGCGTTCCTCGCTGTCCACTCTCTCCTCGACGGTCATGCTCGCGCGGCTGCCGCCCTTGCGTGGCGGGGAGAGAGGCGGCGACCGTGATCGGGAGCGGGATCGGCTGGACCCGGGAGCGCGCGGCAGCGACTCGGACTCGCTGTCGGTCGTATCGAAGCCCGTAAGGTCAGGCTCTTCGAAACCCTGGTGTTAACACGGCCATGGTGTACACAATGGTGCGATTCGAGGCGAGGGGGGTGGGGTACTCATGTTAAACGCATGCCGTCTCGTTAGACCGTTGACCTCGCATCCGGGACGGAGCGATACGCGGGGGGTTTCACGCGCCCAGGCTACGGGGGGGGGGGAGGGGGCAAGTTATGCAAAGGGGTTGGTGACGCGGTTACGCAGTGATGTGAGTGATCAAGGTGCGCTTCTGGATGGAATCAATGCTGCCCTGCTTGGTGAGTTCACTTCAAGAGAGACGTTGTCGGCTTATGAACCAAGAAATAATCCGTACGCGCTTAGGATTCAACCAACCGCCAAGGGTCAAAAGAGGAACAAACTTTTTATCTGGATCCCTTCCGTCTCTCCCACCATGTGCAATTTTGTGTGGTCCCTTCTTTCCCTCCTTACGCATCGTTGCATTTGGTAGAGGTGGGTCTCCGTATAGTGCCGGTATGTGCCCAGAAATTCACCGGCATTATCCCGGACCGGCACTATTCAGCACTATTCAAAGTATTGAGAATGATTTGGGAGCAGTGTATGGTCGCCGAAAACACCGACACTATACAGGGACGTCAACCGCTGTACTTGCCTCCCAGCACATCTTCCGGCGGTTAAAGCGGGCTCCCGCCGCTGCCGTCGATCCCGGCGATATCGACTTCGCGCTCCCCGCGTCCTCTCCGCCCGCTCCCAGCGACATCCGATCCGGCGAAGGCGAAGTCTGCGCGACAAAATAGCAACGTCCAAAGAGAAAATTATGCACGCGAGGTACATACAACGCGCTTGAGCTACAAGTTCGACCTCGTTTTAAAGACGCGATCTGAGCCAGGCACTCTGCAACGAAAGCATCTACCGCTGAGCTGCGTGTCTTTTCTGGCCAATTTTCTTGCGTTTTCTCGCTACAATCCGAGCCCATATTTCTCTCGACAGAACGGTTTCTGATAGCGGGGACTGCCTAATCAAAATGAAACTAGCTTGAAAACTACGTACGTAATTAGACCAGAAAGAGGGCATGCAGACTGTAACCCAAACTTACTCCATTCTAGACATTATCCAGTATGGTTGCTAAAAGAGACCACTGAATAGCGGGGCGCCAATCCCACCGCCGCACCTGGAGGTCTTCGAGCGTGATCTGCACCGGCCCCGAAAGTCTCTTCCCGGCGCCCGCGCCCTTCTCCAGCAGCAGCCTCTCGCGGGTGCGCTTCCTCACATGCTCGACCGCGATGCTCGTGGCCGTCATCGCCGCTGAGAGCGTCGCCGGCAGCGAGTCGCCGCCGCCGTTCGCCTTGAACGCCTCCCACGCGATACCCACGGCGGAGCGCGGCGACTTAATCTTGATGGCCCCGGCGGCGCCGCCACCGCCGCGGCAGCCGCTCGCTTCTGCGGGCTTGCTGGGCACTCTACCCGGGAGGGATTTCCCACCTCGCCTAGCTTTCGGCCTGGGAACGGTCCCTGAAACGTTCCCCGCGGCAACCGGAAATTTCTTCAAGGACGGGCCGACCATGACCGGGGTCTGGTTTCTCTGTGCCAGCGAAAGGTCCAGCTCGCCTGCCGCGGTAGAAGGGGAGAAAAGAAGCGTGTTCGCGGCGGGCGGAGGGGGTGAGAAGAACAAGGAAGGGGTGGAACCCCACGGCACTCTGCATAGACAAGGGGACCGCTACTACAACTACACTGCTGTACCCTTTGTGAAGCCAAATCAAACCATTAAGACTAGGCAGGACTCAACACTGCTGCAAGTACACCGCACCCTTTTAGCAGAACAGAACAAATCAAACCATTCAGACTAGTCAGCGCTGACAAGCCTCAACGGTTTGATTTCGGCCTCTAATAACTCGCTAACTAGTCTTAAAATGGTTTGATTTCGGCTTTCTAAGACCACGGGTTGGAGCAAATGGCACACGTGCTGTGAGCGCTGATTTAAAGCCAAGACAAAAAAAAAAAAAATCTCCCACGACACACACCTTCAAGCGTCCGGTCCCACTCCGCCGCAGATCCCAGCGAATCTGCGCGCAAATCCGTATACGTCCCACTCCGCTGATGGCCCCGATTCTTCGCTCCGTCGCCGCTCTCCTCTGCCCCGTCCCCGTCACTCGCGTGCGCCGGCGGAGCCTTCGGCGGCCACCTCGTGAACGCCCCCCCGGCCTCAACGTGCCCGAGGGAAGACGAGGGGGGTGTCATCGCCGGCGCCGTTTGCCGCCGGAGCAAGTCGGGGGCCGCCGGAGGCAGCCAGTCGCCGTCTGGGATAGGCGAAGCGATGTTGCTGGCTCCTCCGCTGCTGCTGCCATCGCTGCCGCCGCCGCCGCCGCCGGCCACCGCGAGCCCCGGGCTGTATCCGAATTTGGTGGGCTCCTCGAGAGTTAGGTTGAAGGCTTGGTCTTCTGGGAGGCCCTCGAAATCCGCGTCCTGTTTTCAAGACAAGGGGAAAAGGGGGGGAGTGCTGACAACGTGAGGAAGAGGATGGATGGATTACGCGCAAGACATTCTTGCATGAGACTTGAGGCCGTAGTCGCGCACGGTCAGACGAGCTCGGCGACACAGACACACGCGGACAGGGGCACGCACAACAACAATCACGACGCGCGTGAGCGAGCCAAGCGCGCGCGTGCGTATCTCCCACAACAGAGGACCCACCTCTGCGCTTGACACAGTAAACACACCGCGCGTATCGCCAACAACAGATGACTTACTGCTGCTGCGGCTACCACACCAAACACACCGCCGCTGCCGCCGCCGCCAAACGACGCGCCAGCACCGATCCAATCCAATCCCACCGCACACGCACCTGGTCCCAGTCGCTGGTTTCGCTGGCCTCGATCTCCGACCCGGACGCCAGGCTGCTGCCCCCCACGCCGCCGAGAGGGGGAGACGCGCCGGCTCTCGGCGTGGCCCACGCCAACATCTCCGGAGACCCGACCCCGAGGGGAGGGGAGGAGTTCCCAAGCGGGGGGGATGCGTTTCGCCTTGAAGACGACGACATCGAAGCGCGGCCTTCGGAGGAGGCGTACGCCGCACCCTCGAAGACCTGGGCCAGGCGCTGGTGGTCCCCCCCGACAACCAAGTCCTTCCTCCTGAGTGGAGGGGTCGCTGACTCAACCCCGCCGCCGCCGCCGCCGCCGCCGCCGCCCGACGACGTGTCGCTCGCGAAGCCGAACGCCGAATCGAATCGCCGGGCCGTGTTGCCCCAGCCGCCGCCGTCCCGTACATGGCCGGGCGCTGCTGCGTCCGACAGTCTCACCACGGACCCGGTGTCAGACTCCGAGCTAATCCCGGACGACACCATCGACGCCGGCCGCGAACGGACTCTGCCCTTGGCCCTCCGGTTCTCGCTGGCGCTGCTGGTCGGGCGAAGCACCCCGCCGTCCCCGCTCCCTTCCAGCCTCAGACCCCCGCTTGCCGACGGCGGTATTCGCGAGGGCACCGACACGGAATGCCGCCTTTGGTGCAACTCCTTCCTCCGCTGCACCCCGTCGCTACCGCTACCGCCGCCCCCGACCGTCTCCCCTCTCTCTTCCAACACTATCGACGGTCGTCTCGAAGAGGGCCCGTACAGGCCTTCCCCGCTGCTCCACCGGCGGTGAGCGTTGACCGGAAGCCGCCGAGACCCGCCGCCCCCCCGCGCGTACAGCGGCAATGGCGAGCTGATGTCTGCGGCCGGCGACCTCGACTCAGCGCCGCGACGGTGGGGCGAGTTAGAACTCCCCCTCGCGGCAGCAGCTGCTGCAGCGGCGGCGGCGGCGCAAGCCGCCGAAGTGGAGCCTATAGACGAAGTATTGGGGTCCTCAAAGCCGGACAGGTCGACCTCCTCGCCGACCCATCTCTGGGAGTCCGGGTCGAAAAACATCTTCGAGCCGCCCTCCGCCTGCAGGAGCTTCTGGAGTCCCGCGGTCGTGAGGTCCGCCAGGGACAAGAGTAGCGGCTGGCCACCGCCGCCGCCCCCACCGATGCCGCCGCTGTCGCTCCTCCTCATCCAACCGCCGCTCCCGCCCGCAGGGCCGTCCAAGTCAGCAACGCGCCCGCCGGTCGTGGCCCTGATTACGCCGTGTTGATTCATCCTAGGTTCTACCACAAGCCCTCGCTCGCCATCGCCGTCCTCATCGTCCATATCGCGCCGCTCCGCCTGGGTTTGCCCCGGGCTTGCAGCGGTACATGTGTCCGCGGGGGCGCTTGGGCAGAGGCGAGCCCGCTCCTCCCCCGAGCCGTACTTGGCGGGAGAGCTCGCCTCCGGCTTTCGCGAGCGCGGTCGGCCGTGCAGAGAGAGCACGTCTCCCTCATCCACAGTCCCGGGACGAAAGATTAACGAGGGGACCTACGAGGTGCCAGCGAGCAGAGGGGGGTGCGGTAGGGCGACAGCGGTGAAATTTCCGGCCGCGGGGCTCCCCTTCCGGTGGAAAAATTTCACGCAGCGATATGGTACCGTCGCAAGAGTGATTGCTCAAACAACGACTATCAGGCAACCATCAAACACAAACTTGTGATGCAGCAGCGTCGCAAGCGTCTCGACAACCAACAACTAGTCGACAACAACCAAACACAAACTTGCAAATCTGAAAAGAGGGGCGTGACGCAAAATCCATGCTCCCCCTCACAAGGGAACCCCAATCCCCTCTCTCCTCGCCACAACCCAAAACAACGTTCAGGCTGTCACCTTCAGCGTAGGCACTTCGTCCCCAGCGTTAGCCAGCTGCAGTCCAGGCAGCCCATGCCAATCTTCGAGCTCTCCCCAATCGTTCCCCTCAGGCTCCCGGTAGGCGTCCAGCAGCGATCCCCCTATCCTCCCGTCACCCGCCCCCTGCTCCGCTGCCTCGGCTCTGCCGGCGAACTTAGGAGCAGCTGGGACCTCCTCACCAGCAACGACTGTGACCAACCCTCCCTCCGCCTTCGCTTCCGAACCACCCGGGTTGTCGTAGTCGCCGACTGCTTCCCTTCCCGCCCCAGCTTCACCTGTCGCGGCTCCCCCAACCGCCCGGGACTGATCCGGTGGCACAGGGCCCGAAGCTCCCGTGGGTGCGACACCCTCGCCCTTGGGCGCCGCCGCCACCGCCGTCGCCGCCCGGCGACCGCTGTGGTCCTCCTCGTCCGTCTTGAGCCCCTCCGGGAGCATCTGCGGGGAGTCGGCTATCCCCACGGTTGAGTCGGAAGAGCGGCGCGTGCCGAGAGAAGGAGCGGAGCTCTGCCCCTTGCGCGGGGAGGCTGTTGCTACGACTACTGGCGGGCATAGGCTGCCGCCGCCTTGCCTGGCGCGTTCCGCCGAGCTAGGTGGCTGATAGGGTGGGGGGACCGACACGAGCACATCGTGAGAGACACAACGGACGGGGCTATCAGATCGGGGGGCTGCTGTGTGCTGTGCAAGACCGGGGGAAGAAACTTGCGGACGGACAGATCAACGGCCGGATCACAGAACAGGAGCCGACTACACGCAAGCACACCGCCTGTGTACATGAATAACGCAGCGATTTCGAAACCCACCACCATCGCACAAAGCTTGCACGACCTTCCTTGCGGCACCACAATCGGGGCCTCTCTCTGCGCGGTACCGGGCCGTCTTCCCGAGAATGATAAGTTTATGAGAGTGATAGAACAGGGAGGGGGGACGCAGACCCTAACCCTAACCGCAACCCAAATTCCCCGATTGTATGCTTTATCCAACACGTTTACTTAATCGAAAAACACTGCCAAGGCTACTGGGTGTACCCGTAGGGAGCACAAGATATCACACACACACACACACCCGGGACCGATTTTTCAGAGCTCGACTATTGTATTGTATTCCCTATTCCACAACGAAGAAGATGCAGAGTTCAAACGAACGATACATTATCGTCAAGTGCTCGACGACACGGTTCCAACGCAAACGTCTTTAGCATCGCTACAAGTACTCTTGCAGCTGTGGAATGGAGCTTTGAAAATCACACCCCCTGGACTGATTCTCAACGCTCCATTTCTCCACAGAAGCAAGAGTTGCAATGCTAAAAAAGTTTGCGTTGGGACCGTGTCGTCGAGCACTTCACGAACACGTATCGTTCGTTTGGACTCTGCATCTTGTTCGTCGTGGAACAGGGAATACAATAGTCGAGCTCTGAAAAATCAGTCCTGGGTGTGTGTGTGTGATATCTTGTGCTACCTACGGGCATTCGCTCGTGGCAACTCATAAGACGAACGGTGCTTCGCGTCTGCATACCCTTCGGCTTTACCACCCCACCAACTAACACGGCGGTGGCACCACTTGCACGCCAAACAACAACAAAAACATCAACTCTCTTCTCGGCACCTATCTCAGGACAACACACATTTCAGTGGCATCGGCACGAATTTCTCCTATGGCGCGCTACACCAACAAGGAAAACAAGCGGCGGTGTACGACCCCCCCCCGCCGCCGCCGCCGCCCCCCCCCCCGCCCCCGCACGCAGCCAGTGGCTGATGTACAACCGTAGGTTCAAGCAAGCGGCGCGCGCCTACCTTTGCGTCCCTGCTTCCCCTCGAGTGTAACCTCGTCTGCGGAGACCTCGGCGGCGACCGAAAGTTAACTCCTGTTCCTCCCACCCCCCCGTCTCCCGCGCCACTCCCGAGCCCCGGGGGAGTCAACGGACGGCCACCACGGTGGCTGCAGGGGCTGCTGCTGCTGTCTGATTCGCGAGAATCGACAGTCCTGCGCGCATTGTACCGCGGCTCCGCCCTGGTTACCGGAATGTGGGAGGGGCGGGAAACATTTTTTGGCCAAATGGTTTCAGCAGCTTTGAGCGTAAGGGGCGCATCGCAAAAATGGTTTTTGAAGCTTTGATGCCACCCACCAAGCAATGCTTCATGGTGTACTGTACCTGCAAAAATCAAAATCTCTACAGCGGTTGTGGCAAGTTGAATGATCTCTGTTAGACATTCCGAGGGCCATGAAGAGAACGGCAAATACACACGCAAGGAGACCTCCACCTTCCCGATCCGGGGTATATGCGAAAAAAATAGCGACGCTCTCCAGATAAACGGCGTTTGAAGCGCGCTCATGGATTCGTCCATAGCTGTTACAACAGCAGGTACCAAGGTGACAAGACCAAGGAGGCACACATGCTGTAATACATCCTTCCGATATCATGATGCCATGGCAGATATCATGGCAGTGAAATGTTGGGTATCACTACCACGATGATGAAACTTACGATTGGAAATTTACTCTGCTACTTCTCCGTAGGTTCGGTGCGGTGATGACGATTGCTGCTGCTTGGACCCGCAACAACCAACGCCCCACGCCGCACGCTGGATAACTCGCTGACATGTATCGACGCGTTCCTCAGAATAGTCACATGTCCCAAGTCACGCAAAACCAACCATGGTAGCTTCACCGCTGCTGGACAGAGCCAAGCAATCACATATCTTATGCATACATACACACCCAGCGGAAAACAACTACTTGCCGATGGGCCCCACCCGACCGCGATATCATACGCCCACGACCAAACGAAGCCCCGAAACAACAACGATATCCTACGCACGCGACCAAACGCAGCCCAAATACAGCAGGCCTGAACAACACCGCAGGCCACGAACCGTTACAAGCCAACCGTAAGACGCCCCGACAGCACTACAGCAGTAAATAGCCTCACCTCAATCGCAACGGGGGCCGTGGCAACGCCTCCTCGTCTTGGAGCCCCGCCGACGACGATGATGGCGGTCTCCGGGCGGATGGCGGCGGCGACAACAAGCACTCCGTGGCAAGGCTGGAGGCACGGCGGTGATGGTGGAAGGGCGGCGGCGGCTGGAGAATTTGGGGGCACGAGAACCCGCTGTCGTTGCGGCGGCGTGGGGACAGGCGCCTGGCCGGGGCGGGGGGGAGGGGGAGAGGGAGGGCCGGCGTAGACAGGAAGCAAATGAGACTTGCGTGTAACAGAATGGTGTCCGCTAGATTTAGGCCCTTGTTGCGTGCGGTAAACACCAACACAGGTTTTTTTTTTCATCACGCAGGAAGACAGCGGCCCTTGTGGCCAAGGACACCGCAGAGGACGGTCGACGCCGATTGGTCCGCTCCCGCTGATGTGAGGTGTCACAGACCGAGGAGAACGACGTGGGTGGGGACCTGCCAGCAACCAACGAAATGACTGACTAAAGTATAGGTCGTGCCACCCCCCCATGCGCCCCCAACACACATTGCACGCCAAGCCAGCTAGATCTCCAGGGAGAGTTTTTGCGCAACGGAGACTATTTAGTGACATATGGAAACGACGACACCGTTTGGTTGAGGCAAGCCGGCACAGTGAGTCGCGTTTCTGAGCACCCCGCGCGTGATTTGTTTCTTAATTTACTTGAAAAGAGGGCGAGGTTCAACAAACAAACACTATTTGAAGACGTGGTGGCGTCAGTTTTGGTGTCAACCAACGGACGCATTTGAATTTCTGGGAACACACAGGCCCGCCCTGCTAGGTAACCACAAGATAGACGGCGGGGCACATACATCGCGCAGAGCGCCGTAGCCGCGTGTATTCCACTACGCTGTTGCTGTAGTTGGTGTACTGCTGCTGTGGTTTGAGCAAACCACCTGAAATTGCAGTAGGAGGGGGGGGGTACCAACGTTTTTCTCTCACGTCTCTGCTGCTTCGAGAAAGTCAGCTACTGCTGTAAAAAGCGAGAGGGGGCACAAGCACCGCACAACAAGGTTGAAGCCAGGCACAAGCCAACCCGAACCAATCACCGACACGCTCCCGTTCCAAGACAGTCGGCCAGTCTCAAGCTACCGTCAAACATAGACACTGGATCTCGCATATTCCAGGTTGGCACGCCAGGGCTTTCTTTCCTCTCTGCACAGGCAGGTAGGTCCGCGTCCTGCTTTTTTTTCTTGCCACATAAAACCAAAGCATTCGACACTCACCCCGATGCGGTGCTCTGCTGCTGAGAGACAAGGGCAGAGGAGCTCGCCGATGACGGGGGTCCCAGCGGCGCACTCTGTGAGCGGCGGTGCGCCTTGCCCTTCATCGTGAGCCGCCCCTTGGCGTCGATGGTGTTAATCCAGACTTCTGGCCTGGACTCCATCCAGCTAGCTTTTGTCGATCCGTGGGGGCAAACAGCACACTTTTTCTTTTTCCTTGGCCGCGTCTCTCTACCTGCTGGGCGTCGCGCAAATAGTCACGAGCTTTGACGTGCTCGCCCCCAACGCCATGTCAGGCACGCCCCTTGCGTGTCCCTCCGGGCCCTCCGGGGGTTCCACGTCTGCCCCCGCGCACGACTCGCCCTCTGTACACACCAGCAGTCCTCTTTTCGCGTGTACAGCTTTGCTCCCGTGGGACCCCGAGCGAGGATGGATGGAGGGCGGGGGGTCGAAATATAGGAGGGTATGTATGTATGAGTGACGGAGCCCCCCAGGACCATGAGTTGCACTTCGCGACCACAACCACAGGGAGAGCTAGCTGCCTGCACGCTGTCAGTGCTGTGCCTGCGACGTGTGAGACACGGACGGCTCGTGTCTTTGACCGGCGTGGTAAGATGGTGCCTGCTTTTTCTTTCGTCACGGCAACCGCTGCTCTTCTTTCCCCGCCGGCGCAGCAGCAGCAGCAGCAGCAGCAGCAGCTGTTGCCACTGGCAGCAGGTGAGAGAGACTGGTTCAAGGTTGATTGAGTGCACGCCGTATCCTTAGCAAACGGCCCCAGCTGCACATGGCAACAGCAACGCGCTCCGACAGTCGGTAGACGTGAGCGGCCAACCTTCATGCACGTCACGTGTGCTGCTTGCACACCTTGTTGCCCTGTCCTGTTGACGTGAAAAAACGTCTGTCATGTTGTGGCAGTAGCAGTACATGGTACTGCTGTGCGCCCCGCTGTGGTCCGGGGTGTGTTATTTCTGGCGTGAAGGCGCTGTGTTTTACGCAGAACTAAGGGTTCAGGCGTGGTGTAGTAGCCGAGGAGGCTCCCCCCTGGTTGTTGTGACTGCTGCTGCATCGCCGGCGATGGTTGTTTGCCAGAAACATTGGGTATATAAAACGTCTACATAGCACAACCGCCACAGCATGGGCAACGACCGCTAGAGCCTACGCCACGACGTACGCCAGCAACAGACAGACATGGATCTCAGCCTGTACTACAATACTGCTGTACCTTGTGCGACAGCTCCTTCGAATAAGGCCTTACGAACCAAATTCCGTTGCACCCCGCGCGCGGAAACCACCTGCAGACGGGCAAGCTCGCCACTCGCAGCGACTGCTCCGTGAGCGCCACTACGCCACCCCACGCCGTGAGGCGACGACCCGCCTGCGAGGCAGGGTGGACAGCGCGAAAGCCGAAGAGCTGCTTGCCGGGCTAGGGTTCAACGTCGACGAAGAAGCACGAAGCAAGAGCAACGGCCAGCAACGCGGGCGTCGAAGAAAGCGCCCGGGGGGGAGTAATAAGGCCATTCGGGATGCCGAGTGGGCTCCTGCTGCGCCGGGGGCGGACACACAGGTTCGGGCGTTATGACGGTGTATATCACCTTCCGTTATAAGCAGCACGGTTGGGGTTAGCGGCCTGGTTTGCGGCGAGCGTCGTGCTGGACAACCGAACATTGATGCACGCATGCACCCGCTCTGTACAGCAGTAAATATGTTCGTGTTTTATCTCGCTGCCAGCGGAATGTGTTGGAGAGCAGCCAAACTGACACACGCGCACGGCCGCTGCCGCAAACCCTTTGCATTTTAATATCAGCGTGAAATGAGCGTGGTTCTATGGTGATTGATCGTTGCTTACTTTCACCCTTCCGTGTCACAACAAGGGTCGGGGTATTTAAGCGTTTTCCTGGGTTGCCTACTAGGCTAGTAGGTGCCGCAGAATATCGTTTTCCACCAACACCAAAGGATAACCAGATCACCGCCATATGTACACGAGATGATGACCGGCATCCGAGACACGCTCCATGCATGGTTGAAAAGCGGCATGGTTGGCACGAAACTTATGTAACAGGCATGGAGCATTCCAAACATGGTGTGTGGCGGTGGAGAGGGATGGGAGAGACACACACGTACCAAACTTTTCATCGTACATCATGGCAGCGGCTCGAGACAAACCTCAAACTTCTAAATTTCCGACACGCACCCATCCCACGCATGTTTATGCTGCAAACTGTTGTTTCAAACAAATCGCCACTTCAGGGGGCCTCTGCTCCAGCAGCACGGGGTTGTATCTCAGCGACCGATTTTGAGAATATTAATGTTTGACCAACGTATCTTCACCGAAGTACAGCTATCACGGGCAAGTCTACCACCGCAGCTATTGCCTCCTCACTCGTCCTTAGTCATGATGGTGTTGTCTCCGTGTGTCTCTCCCTCTTTCGGCCGACACACAACCACCACCCACTATTCTTAGAATGCTGCATGAAAATAGTATTCTGTCTCTGTCGGTGCGTCAACCATGCTGCGTTCAACCATGGAGCGTGTCTCGGATGTCGGTTTATGGCCGTCATTTTCGTGGAGCAGGGACACTCGTTTTTCGTGTCCTTTGTTGTTTGTTGTTGTTGCCTTCACATTATAAACCGTTCCGTTCACGGGGTCGATTCCCGTGGTCACAGGCTAACTTACCCAAACAAGGTATACGAAAATAAATTGGACCCGAAGGGTCCGCAAGCCAATAGAAGCCAACGACAGATAGTCCTTTAGAAGGAGAAAACTGCAGATCCATGATACGGTCCCATTTCCTGTCACGTCTGCAGGGTATGCGTACATTCCCGAAACATCAGGGTACTGTACAACCCGACAGAGTAGGCGCAGCAAGGTGTACTCCGGGTTTCTTGTGAAACGGCAGGGTGAAGTCGGCGTCGACCAATCAGGGGTTAAACGTATGTACCCGGCTGAGGGTTAATTTACAGAAGGCTTATACCCTTTTCTGTGTCGTTTTCCTATACTTCACCGAAGTTGTGTGCAAGGTGAATTCAGCGATATTTGATATTTGGGCAGTCTGAGTGTCCTGAATTCTCAATATGGTCCGCCGACTGCATGTACAAACCCGCAGGCTTCGGTCGACTCGAGAAAAGTGTGCGAGGAAACGATAACCGCGCTCATTTACCGTCTGTTTTTTTTTAAACAAAGGGGCTGGGCTTTCTGGAAGCCACCGACTTCGATGTTCCCGCAGAAGATCGTCTAGCGTTCGAGAGAAATGGGCATGCCGTCACGCGGGGTGTGTTTTCCCCGAAGCAACTCAAGGCGCTGCGCCCCAGCATTGTGCAAGGTGACTGCTGTACATGGCCGTACTGGAACCGGGCTCCCCCCTTTTTTTGCGAAGCGGCATCACCGCTGCTGTGCTGGGACAGGTTCAGGGCGACGCTCCTAACGGACTCTCACTTTGGTAGTACGTGTGCAAAACCAATACGTGTCCAAACCCACACGCTGCAGAGAGAGAGAGAGAGAGAAACGGTGCCCGACGTTTTCTGATTGGCCAATTGTTGTGAGAGGAGGTTTGTGATTGGTGGGAAAATCCTGGTCGACGGATGGTGTCATCCAGGGCGGCGAAACCGCATTCGGCGAAACACACTAGAAAAACAACTATTTAGTACAATAGGGTCGGTCACTCACTCTCGCCGCTGCTGTTGGCAACTCGTACCTCCCGTTCTCTCTCTCTCTCTTCTTCTCTCTCTTCTTCTTCTCTCTCTTTCCCTCTCTCTCTCTCTCTTCCATCTTACGCTGGACTGCGAGTTGCATGCAACCACTGCATTAGTTTGCCAGTTTCCGTACCGGGTGGTGCGATAGCTCCAGCTATTGCCCCCACCACAGAAAGGCACGCCAACACCGAACGTGCCTGGTATCATCATAGAGATGGCCAATCTTCTTTTGCCGTGGGCGGAAAGCACCCCCAACAAAACAGCGACCCTCACGATACCCCCTCCTCGCGTGCCTCTTTTTTTTCGAAACCCCGCGTCTCGCTTTCTGTCCAGCCTTCGAGCTCCAAGAGATGAACGCGCTGCGCCAGAAGGTTTCCGTCTGGTTCGGCGACGATGCCGCTTCCGAGCTCGAAACCGCCCCACAGCTCCGCGCGAGGCTGAAGCGACTTGCCCCGGAAGAGGTCCCCTTTCTCCAGGTGCGGGCGCGGACTAGGACGAGAAACACATCCCTCAGACGGCTGCGTCTCCTTATCGTTGTCATGTTGATGTCTCATCACTGCCTCGCAGCATATATTTTTTGTGCCCCCCCCCGCCGCGAACAAAGAGACTCGAAAAGACGTAACCTTAACTATATAGAGAGGGCCCCTATTTAGTGCCGGTTGAATAGTGCCAATGCCCGGTGTAGTGCCCGTGCTTTCGGCGGGCGCACACCGAATTTCCAAGTCATTTGAAAAGTGCCGGTGTCCGGTATAGTGCCGGTGAAATTTCTGGGCACATACCGGCACTAAACTGGGACCCCCTCTGTAAGCGACTACTTTGAGGTATAACAAGCAATACATTGCAGCTTGACTGCGGTCGAATTGAACGATGGTGCTGTAGGCCTGCAAGCGTCTTGTCAGTTTCGGTATTCCTTCCCGTTTTTTTTCCTCTCGGCGCGCGAAAACACTGCCGCCGCTTCAGGTTTTCAACATGTTCAGGAAGGACGGTCCGTTCCGAGAAACCATCGAGCGGGTCGTTCTGTCCCCAAGGCTTGCCCACGTCGCCGCGCAGCTCCTGGGCTGCCAACGGTGAGCAAGCGTCGAAAATGATGCTAATTTAAAAGCGATCAAAGGATTGTGCGTTCTCATTCGCTGCACCCGAAGCCACCGCGAAAGTTCCTGAAGGGTCTATCGTGAGCGGGGGCGCTCTGTTACCTCTGGCGGTCTTGAAAATAGCGTCCGGATGGTGGTCGGTAGAAGAACAGCCTCGACGACGCGCTCTCGATTATGTAGGTGGAATCTGTACCGTTTTTAGAAAGTAAACATAACCTCACAGAAAGACTACCCGTTCGAGATTTTCTTTCTCGCAAGAATCTGGATGCGCAAAGGTTGGGGAGATGTACCCGTTCTGCACGCCCCGTGCTTGAAGTCTTGAGAGACGACCTACTACTCTCAACATATGGGGGGGAAGCCTCAGCGTGAGTGGCTGACTCTCAGGTTATTTGCTCCCCCTACTGCTGCTGCTGCTGCCGCCGCCGCCGCCGCCGCCGCTACGCGACCTCCTACGGTCGTGATCAGCGTGAGACTCTACCAAGACTCCACGTTCTGCAAGCGGCCGGGGGACGGTCCAACCAGGTGGCACTCGGACCTCAACATGGCGCCGCTGGACTGCAACGACTTCGTGACCGCGTGGATACCGTTGGAAGAGGTTCCCGCGAAGAGGGAGGGCGGCTCGCCCCTGGTGTTCGCCAGCAGGTCGCACCGCGACTTCGCCCTCAATCACTGGCGGGATTCCCGGCTAAGGGAAGACCTGAGCGGGAGATACCGCGAGAAGGACCACGCCCCCTTGGCCGCCGGTAATATTATGACTTTATTTATTAGGAAACATAAACACAAACACAGAAATACGTAACCGGGAGATACCGCGAGAAGGACCACGCTCCCTTGGCCGCCGGTAATATTAAGAGTTCATTAGGAAACATACATAAAAACACAGAAATACTACCCGTTCGAGATACGACCACAGTCGAACGGGATGTGTCGAAGTCTTTACAGTAAATGGAGGGAAACCGGCTGGGTACTGGGCTTGTTTGGAGTCTGTTTATGCCTATACACTTATTTTTTTCGATCAGTGATGTTTTGCAGACTTGTAGGTCCTTCTTTTTTGTTCGTTGAGGTTCTTCTTCTTGGTTTGTTGAGGTTCGCTGGGCCGTTCGAGTCAAGAAACACGTCAGCTGAGTGAGCTTGGGAACCGTCAGACGGCAGCCGGCAGCCGGCTCTGGGTTGGTCCCGCCTGCGTGCTTTGCTTTCATCTTGCATCACACCCCTTGACGACACTGGGCTCTCATGAGCCCACTACAGAGGGGTTCCTTGTACGCGCATAAATGCTCCCAGCGATGCTTGATGACGCTTTGTGGTTCCCCGAACGCGCGTTTTGACGACACAGGGGGGGGATGGTGTTGCGGTTTCGACTTTTCGGCATCAAAGCCCTGTGACCCGGGACACGATTATGCTTCTCGTGGAACATAGCTCGAAGGGGCGAGATCAGAATCAAGTGATTCTTTGCGCCTTGTGCCTATCAAGGCTTGCGCCTACCCCGTGAAAAAGTCACCTGGCAATTTCCCGTCAAGGGTTGCTTGTTTTTCCCACGGCGCTCTTGACCTTGATGGCTTCGTTTTGGAGGGAGTGTTGGCAGCAACTTCTTACCTAGCTTACTTTTCTACCGTGTGCAGAACTTGGCTGTGGCACCCAACGAGTCCGAACGAGATGCATGTCCCATCCCGTCCATGGTATGCATACAGCAGTAACCTGAGATACCGGTAAGTTGGGGGGCGAACGTGCAGCTCGATTTCTCCACAAGCAAGAGGCTGTCAAATGCCGAAACGGGTGGTGTTCCATGTATCAGCTTGGTCGAGAGAGAGGCTTTTCTGCCCTTGCACGTTCCGGTCGACGTTTCTATCGCACCCCCGATTGGCTGTGGGGCAATCGACCTTGAAAGAATCGATCGCACTCCGGTGCGTTCGCTCTCACGTCCACGGCATGACCTCGGAATGACATCCTACCAGGAACCTTTCGACTCAATGCGTGGTGCACGCGCTTTGTGGTGTGTGTGTACTGTAGGTGACATCACGTGGCACCACGGGTGGACGCTTCACAGCTCCCTGGGCAACAGGAGGGAGACGCCTCGGGTGGCCTTGGCCGTCAGCTACTTCCGGGACGGGACCTGCCTCCTGTCTGACACCGCGGGGTATGATCTTGTTCGTGCTATCTTCTTCATTTACTTCCTTCCATTTCTGACTGCCACACGCAATTTTGCGACGAATATTTTGTTCCCGAAACCAGGAGCCTGGAAGCCTAATATTTTGCCTGTCGTCGTGCTTGCTGCCTATCGCCATGGAATGCTTTGGAGGACCACTATTTAAGTTTCGTCAAAAAGAATGTTTTAGATCAAGCCTTTTTCGTATCGAGATTCTCGCCAAGGACGATTTTCTTTCTTGAAGTTCCACGACATGCTCATGAAATGACGTCGACTCTTTGCTTTCGAGCCTTACACGCATTCTCGCTTCGCCCTTTGACAAGGTGCTCATTCCTCCGGGTTAAGGCCAAAACTAGTCGCTTTCCTCCACGCGCCTTTGGCAAGGTGCTCGCTCCACTGCGTTAAGGCCAAAACTAGCCGCTGTCCTCCACGCGTGCGCGAAACTCGTCAATTTACAGGAGATCACCCGATCCAGAGGACAAGTGGAGCTACGGGGACTGGGTCGGCGACTTGCCAGTAGGAGGCGTTGTTAAACACCCCTCCGTCCCGCTTGTATGGGACGGGGGACGTCCCGTGAGATGACATTGCATGGCGAGGCATGTGTCGAATGTTCGTAGGTGTGTGTTTCTGATCATCGTGCATGGTTTTCTTGTGATAAAAAAATTGGCAAGGAGGGGAAGGGCGGGGGATTAAACAGAATATACTCGTTCTGCGTCCTGTGTGGCCCCGGCTGATATGTCAAACATAAACATACACACCGGAAGGTGCGTAGACTGGGACGAACACACACACGAACACACTGCTGCTGTATCGATCGTGTAGAAGTGGGCTTTTGCAACTGTAGCCTCTGCCATAGTTTAATGCCGTAGCATCACCAGCGCTCTGACAAGAAGCCGAGGCCAAGCCTAAGGAAGTGGGCAATGTAATGCCAAACGTCATTATCCTCGCATGGGAAAGCGAGGGCGACTCGGGCAGCTTAAGGGTTTTGATCTGCCGTGGTAGGCGGTACGGTTTATCCAGTTGATCGACGGCTGTGGGTCGACCCGGTCGATTTTGCGGCATACCGTACTGTAGAGATTAACACACGGTCTACTGAGTGGCAGTTCAGCGGTGCGGATCTTGAACCTGATCTTTGTTTCTGGTGGGGTCTGAGGAGTTTTTGCGCGCCCTCTTGAGCATCTTTGCGCGTGTGGCCACCCGTTCGAACCCAACCTAGCTATTGTTGGCTCACCTAGCACCACCGGCCCAAGAGACTACCAAACAATAACCACATTTTGAGTTCTTGCTCCAACCCACGTGCCACTGTTGGAAACTAAACACGGCGTCGCGAAGGACTGACCATTCGAGGTACTTCCCAGATGGGATACGTTAACCCTACCCTAACCTTAATGTGAAGACAACAACAACAACAATACGTTGGAAGCCTTGCAGCGACTTTGGCTGAGAACGCAACGTGCGTCGGCATCGCGTGGGAGGACCCTGACCCTATATCATTCGCGCGCCCCCCGGTCCCGCCGTTTTATTCTTCTTCCCAGTACGCCGTTGGCCTATGTTCTCCACCTATACCACCCACTAGTTTGCCTGGTCATCCTCGTCTTCTTGTCCATCCTGTGGGGTTGCGTGCCAAAGGTGGTAGCCGGCGGTTGCGATATCAGTTCTTGGATGCATGACAAAGGCATGTTTGACTGCTACAAGCATTACGCGTGTCTCCCCCCAACGCTACGAGATATAATTTGCTCTGTTCTATCTTGCTGTCTAGTTGGAGTCGTTTAAAATCGCGTCACACCACATTGTGGACAACCCCCGGCTGCATACGGCATGAACACCAGGATAAGCCACAGAAATTCTGTGACGATTTTGGGGGGGAACTGTGGGCGGTGGAAGAACGGCAAGCGAGTGATGGATCAACCCTACCATAACCACGGCCCCCCCTACCATCCCCTCGGGGTATTATCCACCACATAAACAGCGCCACCACTGGAGCGCAAGAGAACCCTGAGCATTTTAGTGTTCTGAGATCCAGAGAAATAATCAAAACGTAGCTGTAGTGCTCGCATGGGCAGCGTGTTCGTTTTTGTTGCCTCAGGCGACATTTTTCACCGTTTCCGTGTCCGGCGTGCCCTCCCACTTCCTACGAAAGACACCGCCAAGTTCCGGGCTATTGCCGTGCCTGCCGCGTGTGACGGTGCTACGCTACGGCGACGCGGGGCACGGCATACAGCAGTTTCCAACCGGGGAAAGTTTTCCGAAGGTCGTTTCTTTTCAAGACGCCCACTACAGTACGCACAGTGCAAACTCACGTCGCCAACGCTGCCCTTGAACAATCGCTCCAGCCCGGCGTCCTCCCCGGGCCTCTTGTTGGCCAGGCGCCAGCTCATCCGCCACACAATGACCCTGCCCCGACTGTCACCCGTCGCCAGCAGATCCCTTTGTCTGGGGTTGAAAGAAACCGAGTAGGCCGCCCCCACCGCGCCCTTGTCGTTGACATCGACTAGCCTCGACCGGGGATGGAAAAGAGCGTCCCCCCGAGGTAGCTGGGCGCTCGCCACCGGTATCACCGGGCTCTGGAGGAGGTCGTAGATGAAAATCCCGCCGTCCTCCGCCTTTCGCGGGAGGGCGACGTTCATTGGCGTAGCACATGTCCGGGTGCACGTAGGAGAAAGCCGGAAAGGGTGTTGGCCGTGAGACAAAGGCTTGCACATCCGGCGTAGGATTCGACGTGTTCGCTGACAGAGCCATTAATTATTCAGTGTTGATCAATATCTGTTCCAATCCCCCACCAACTATACTCGCCGAATTCAAATTGGGCCCGACGACGCTATTCAACGTTTGCTCCGAAGCAGTGGTGATCTCACGTGTCAGCGAAGCGACGTTTACTATGACGCCGGATCGTGTCTTCATGAGGAGTGTCGATATGCTTGACGAAACTGTTCCCCCAGTTCCGACAGCCAAAGTGAGCTGTATTCGCCTTGTAACAACTCTCGCCAAGATCGTGTCAGACTGCGATGCCCATGGCGCACAGTATGCGAAACATGACGACTTTTGCTTCTTCGGTTCTTACCACCGCCGCGAACACCAACGGTCTGGCCCTGCTCCACCTGACGTCCATGAGGTTCGAATTGGAAGGCTCGAACGTAAGCACCGCTCTGCGTGACAACGGAAATATTTCCGATGATAGAGCACATGAGGAGAACGAACAAGGGGGAAATGGTGAGCGGGAGGGGGAGTTTATGTCACAACTGTCGCCGGTGTTGTGGTGGATCCCTGCAGTTTGGCCTCGGATGTGATGGATCTTCAAGCAATGTCATGATGAGATCATGCAGCAAGACAAAGTGAAGCGAAGAGACCCGTAATCAGCAACCAACTAAACACGCCGGCACTATGTACTGTGTTGCGAAGACACACCAAGGTTTGTAACCACCACGGTAACGAGTCTTTTCGGAATCGCCCCGGACACAGCAGTGAGTCACCTGCTCTGTAGAGTGTTGTACAGCCTGGCGGACCCATCTGCTCCACTCGACAGAAGCAGTGCCCTGGGTGATCAACAACCGAGCCGGGGTGAGAAATCAGGCATGAATCTGACACCGGATTTGTTGTCGTTGGGTCGGTACATTCATCAGTCACCATGAAAATCGCCAATGTTACCAATGGCACACCACAACCAACAACAACCACAACGCTTTTTCCGCGGCCAACGCGTCTCTAGAAACCTCCGTGTACTGGCAGAAACGAGCTTTTCTCTTTCATCACGCTCTCGTGACAACTCCCTTGCCTGTGAAACGGCGAGCAGTCGATCGAGTGCACCGGTCCGTGGTGCTTCTCCATGCGAAACAAACCGGGCGATGGGTAGAGGAGCGACGATTCCAGCCGAGCTCGAAACACCGCCGGCAAGTCCACCTTCCAAAGGAGAAAAATTGTATTGTAGGTAAGGGGGGGGGGGGGGTTCCACTTTGGACACCCGGCATTGGCACGGGCACACGCGACCCAAGGCCGAAAACAGTCGTTACCGGTTCTTGCAAGGCGTGAAACAAGGGTAACCATCACTGGTGTTGATCCTCCAATAATTGCGAGACAGGGAACCATTCGTGCTTCCGAGTTCGACCACAGCAGCCGCGTACTCCGCTCGGTGAACGCTGTAGTATTTATTTGTTGGCAGATGTCCATGAATAGTTCGTTTCATTTCGAGTCGTTTCGTGTCGGCTCGCTTTTGGTTCGACTCGTGTCTTCTCGTCGACACGTTGTACATGCCTTAGACGCGGAACCTTTCCGTTGTGTCAACTTGAGGGCCTTAGCTGAAAACGATTCATGACAAACATGGGCCACGAAACCGTTACACACCAAACACGACCGGTGGCAAACAGGTACCAAGAGGTTAGGTTTGGACGCCAACTGTACCTTGCCATATCGAGACTTGCACACCATACGGGGCGACACAAGCAGTTTGGCGTAAGAGACATACCTCTGCCCCGCGGTTGGCCTTCGCCGCCTTCTCGACATCCCTGACCACCTCCCGCTGATGCTTGGTCGGGACCCGGCTCAGCGTCTCGTCCGCTTCCGATGACCACCGCATGCTCTTGCTCTGGTCTGCAGTCCCCTGTGTTTCCGACGATCAAGTCGGCGGGTGGAAAACCATGTCGGATGTGTTAACTGTCAAGGCCGTTGGTCTTTGCTTCGCTCCACTTATCGGCACCAACAGGTCTCCTCCATCACCACACGGAATCACACATGGATATCCACAGGTGTAATTGTCACGTGAATATTATATAGAGTCGTTCGCGGGTACCACTGTGAATATTTCAACAACGTTTGCGGTCACGCGAGGTAAATGTAAGACAACGCAGAACCCCTCCCTTGGTCAAGTGTGGACCGTTTACGCTTTGCTGCGGTTCACCAGGCAGTGTCTTCTTGTTTGGGCCGTGCGTGTCAGACCCTGCTCGCACAAGACGCAGTTCTTCCAATGCATGCAAGACACTTTCCACCCAACCAATTGTATTCCTCCTGGAGAGAAAAACCCATCAAGTTATCATCAGGCACTACACCCCAGACCGTACCTGCCGCAGAGAGCTCCAGGCAAAACGGCGTGGGCATACCACACAATCGGCTGTCGACACTGTCGAAAACGCTGCCGAATTAGTTCACGACGCAGCGTCAAACCACGTGCAACAACCGCCACCCCAAAGCATTCCCGTCGCGCTTGGGCCCCACCTTGGACGATGTCGCCAAGCGGCACTTCACGACGGCCCCTCCCTCCGTTCCGACTACCGCCGAGGTCATGTGGCGTCCCTCCCGCAAGAACGACAGCGTGGTGCATCCCGCCTTGCCAAGGAGGGCCAAGAATAGAACAGTTTGTTGTCGTACAGCAGTAGCACCCGCACAAGTCGATGTTGGTCGTGAAACTGGAGAGGTATGGGAAATACTGTCGTTCTAGGAACATTTTGGCGCATACATGCCTACGGTGGAAAGCTACTGAAAAACGCAGCCGTTTTTCTCACGATGCTACGCAGAGCTAGGGCGCCCAGCAGCACCGCCTCGTGGTGTTCTGACCTCTGCCAAAGTGCGAGAACCCATCCGCCGAGCCACATGTGTCGATGTCATTGCCTTTGACACCGGGGAGATCGGCGGCGTATGGATTCTTTATTGGCCGGTTCACACATGACAGGATTTTGGAGCAGCTACAGTACCGACAGTTTTGCTCACTGTGCGGCCTCTGGCGGAAGACCTTCGAGCCCTGGTACCATCCCGGCCACCGTCTGCCCCCTCCGCTGGCACTCGGTATCCTTCTACCGGGCATTGGAGGTTGTTCTTCAGAGACCAAAACAGAAGCTGAAACGCATTCGAAAGACAAGAGTACAGGAGGACAGATGAGACAGGAGTTTTAGCGTGAGGGTTCGTAGGTGTGACTTATGCTCGACATGATTTTCGAAGAAACCGTCCGAAGAACGCCCACGATAATAATTGGACGATAGCTTGTAAGGGATGAATCAGGCGGCAACCTGCTTGCGGTGCGTATGATTCTGTGTTAGCTTGGGCCACATGAAGAGAGAGGATGACACTGGCGGACTTGTGTCGACACATTCAAGTCTCGTGGGCTGTCCCTACCGCGTAGAACAATCTGTCTATCTGAGCTGAAAACACAGTAAGAGGTCTCGCTGTGGCTTTTCTCCAGACGTTTATGGCTTCACCTTTCCATCCCCGGACACAGCGGCCAGGCGGTACTCGTCGTCTCGCGGGTTGTGCACCCAGGATAGCTGGGGGGAGAGAGAGAGAAAGAGGAGAAAAGAAGAGACAGCGTCGAAGCGTGGCATTAAGTTGGGTGGCTACGCGCAAGTGCTGGTGCTCCTGGCATCATTGGTGCGGACATTGAGATGTATGTCCAACCAACCTGGACAGACAGCTGTTTCACCGCATGTACCACCTTTTTCTGTCCAACCCATTGTCGAAGACTAGTCACGCACCCGTTGATAGTATAGTCTAATTTTCTCACGCATACAACTCTAGCATCAGTGCTCGCACCCTGAGACTTGGATGACCGACTACCCGCAATGCACACCCGCTGCGCAACGCGCGTAGTTACGTTTCGTCTCCTCCTCTCACCGACGTCACCGGCTCTCGGTGGTAGAGGTCGTCGATCTTCGTTGTTGCCAGCAGCGGTTCATCCCTCGACGTGTCCCACACCACCACCTGCAACAGGCAAGGAAGCACGCCCCCCCCCGGCATAGCCCCGCCAGATGGTACTGGTAAACATTCGGGACCTCTGTATTTTCGATGCTCTTGCGGCTAGTCAATCGGGTGGCCGCAGGGTGAAAGGTATCCTATCGTGGAGACGACAAAAAATCACATGTTGCTGCGGTGGTCTTACCTGTGATTTTCTTGGGCTGTGTGGTTGGGTGAGGGCGTGGCGTTTTCAGCAACATTCACAATGCTTACCTCGCCGTTGAAGGATCCCGCGGCTATGATCGCTGGGCTCAGTGGGTGGCAGCTGACGCACATCAAACAGCTGGGCAGGGAAGGTTGCGCGGGAACACCAGGTCAGGGCTCACAACATAGGCTCTTGCACAATGAGCATACCTCATACCAACTTTTTCTTTTTGTATCTATTCCTGCTTTTTTATCTCTTTGTGTATGTGTGTCAACCGCGCCAGCCGGACTACCACTTAAATGTTTCCTTCCATAGTGCATGCCTGCAACTTCGATTAAGAAAGAAGGTAGGTATTCCTTTCCCGCGTTGGTATTAACGTCAACCTTCGAAGAATCAACATCAACGGTTTAAAAAACAGTCTCAAGGGCGGAACTCGAACTCCAGACCACGACCACGTCCAGGTACGTACTTCGAAGACACCTGGAGACCATGGGGGCAACCCACATCATCTAGAGGACGTAAACCATCGCAACATCCGCTGCAGATGGGATACTGTGTGGCTCGTCGATTGTCGACGAATGAAACATGCACGGATGTGCATTGCCTCGCAGCCGACCTTCTTGCAACCTTCCGTTTTCATCGCCTAACCCTAACGCTATTCACCCGCGCCATCAGGCAGACAACAAGTGTATCGCCTTCGGTCGCCATAGAGCTCCCGCTGAAATTCTCGTCGCCCTCGCCCCTGCTTCGCACCTGCTGTGGTCCAGAATGGTATCAGGCGCGTGGTCTCCCTCGTCGGCAAAGCCTCGGCGGAAGATGTTCCAGGTAGCGAGGGCCCCTGGGGAGTCGCACCAGCCGGCGATGTCGTTTCTGGTCAAAGAAGAACAAATGCGTCGTACTAAAGGCAATAGGATCTTGTTGTAGTTGTTGGTGGTTGTTGTCTTCACGATAAAAGCCGTTCCGATCTCTTCTAAGTACAACGGGGGGAGCTCAAATCGTCAGCGCCTATATAGCGTTGGCAACAGGTCACGGCACAGCCAAAGTATTCTGTAGTTTGACACTACTCGGCACGATTCTGAATAGTGCCGATCGCCCGGTGTGGTGCCGGTGTTTTCGGCGCGCACATGACGGCACTACTGGGGGGGCCTCCTATCGTAGATGAAGCGAGGAAATCTGTCCACCGGCGAAGGTATTATCGATCGCAAGCTAGTTCGCCAAACCCTGGCAGAAAAGGAAAAGTTTGCGCCTTTTCTCCGCAGTCACGGCGGTGCAGCGCGGATGTCAGGACTACGCGTACCACTCCTGCGTCAACAAACTCTTCCCGCCGTACCTTCGCGGACAGATTGAGAGTTTCGCCTACCGGGAGAAACATCGCTCGAAGTTTGGGGTACTCAGCGCCCGTTACTCATCTACGGGCACCCCGTGTCATAAGATACGGCCGGGACACCATGTTGTGCGGGCTAGCCTCTGTAAACATATGTCACTCAATACTCTCGTTACAGTCAATACAGGTCTTAAGTCAACCTTATTTCTCTTGCGGCCTCTGTTGAAGCTGCTGCGTGAAAAAACACCCGAGCGTATGTTTTACACTCACCTCCCGAACGAGGCAGCTACCACAGATCCCGTAGGGCTCCAGTCTACTCCAGTGGCCTGGAGCGGCTATCGAAGAAACTCAATTTTTGTCGAAGGGCACGGATGGTAGCAGAAGCGAGGTCAGCGGGTCGGAAACATGGTCAAGGCCCCAGTTGATGACTCTCCGGCCCCGCATGCGCCGCCCGTCACGGGTTCTTCGCCGAAATCTCGAGCTTGGTATTGGCCCTTCTATCTCAAGGGTCGTTGAGTTTACGCGCGTCTAAGCAACTTCAGGCGCGCAAAAAATCAAAGTACGCTCAAACCGTAGCGCGTCCTCGATCTACCTCGTCGCTGACGAACGTTTCCTGTTCCTCAACAACAAGGTAGGCTCGAATGCTCGACAACTCTGACCTTGGAGCTGGATCCAGTCCCTCCAACGCCTGTTGCACTCAGCAGTTCGGAAAGATCACACGAGAGGGTGTAGTGGAGGGCGATCTCATTGTCTCCCCCCTCCTCGATCGGCGCGTACCCAATGAACGCCTGTGTTTGTAAAAGAGGAAGGAGACAGTGGAAGGTTGCTTACAGGGCAGACTTACCGTTGCCAGCCGCTGTGCATACGGACCTCATATCCTAGATAATTCAAGTAGCAGCTGTAGTAATGCGCACAGGGGACTGCGTCAACTTCATGGTGTTGGGTGCTTGGTGGTGTTGTTGGAGGTGGCTGCTCTGAAAAGTACATGGAAGCCCACGCACAGCAGTTCTCCACCAACTCACACACGAGGGCCTCTGTCCTGCATCACCTGGCTGGCGTCCGACTTGGCTAGCTCGTCCTCCATCTCACCGCCCACCCGTTCCAAGAACCGAGCTACGCCAGGGGGTATGTCACTCCAGTCATCGAAGCCCGAGATGGTCTCAGGGTCGAGCTTGCGCTCGGAGTCTTGCTCTGTCTGTGTCTAGGGACGGCCGAAAAAGCGCGACAATACTGCACGTCAAAAAGACCCGGAGGCCGCCGAGGGTACCGCACTGCATGGATCAGGTTCATGGGACACAGAGTGTGTGACGACCGGTCTCGGAACGGGTTCGGCACGGGCGGTGTGTGTTGCAGGTTGGTGCTTATTGTAGATTCGTATGCAAACATCTTGTGTGGTTTGTAATCTTTGACTTGTGGTATCCAGCGTGCCTCAACGGGCAGCACTATCTGCAGCCCTGCACCCAGAGTTTTCCTTGAGAGCGTTATGCACTTGTAAATGTCGGGCAACTCCTCACGTTTCGAACACGCCTGTAGTGGCACACACACCTCAGCGGTCGCCGAGATCCGGGTTTGCGTCGAACAACAGTCAATCTGGATCTCTCTCGTCTGCCCCCCTTGAGACACCATCTGCCGCTTGTATTCGTCGTTGTTCGAGAAGTTGACCGCGCCAAAGTGGGCGTCCTGAAATTCAGGGATCGCCATCTCGCACCTAATCCAACGCGCGACCCTACTGCTGCCTGTTGCTGCCGTCGTCGCCCTCTCTGGGAGGGGTCTGTGGAGATAAGGTGCAGCAGGTGTAAGGATCGCGCGCATCCAAGATCTCCGAAAATCTCCGAAAATCGGGTGTTCCGTGGATCGGAGATTGCATGCGTTGGGAGATAGGGGTGGATTCACCAGTCCCGCCCGCGAGTTTGAGCGACGACCCAGTGAATTCCCTCCTCACTCTCTGCCACCTCTATTTCTCTGCTGGGCAACAGCGGACGTTGACATGTGGCCTCCGCCAGCCACTGACTTCCGTCCTGGTGGCGGCGATGTGACGGGAGCGAAAAAGAAGAAGAAGAGAAAGAAGAATAGGCGGTCATCGTCGCAAGACTACACCAGCTCTTCGACGGCGTCCACCGGAGATCATGTCAACGGCGGCGCCAGGGGGCCAACAAGCCCGCCCCGACCTAACGCTAAGCCTTCGCCAGAACAACAACAGCAACACCAACAACAACAACAAAGAGGCGTCGATGATCTCGACTCTGCCACTGGCGCTACTCGTGCCCGGAGAAACAGCGAGGACGTCGTTGCTGCCGCTGGTGGTGGTAGCGCCGGTGGTTCGGGCGAGGTGGTACCGAAGGTAGGCGGGGATGCCGGCGGCAAGGATTACGACGACGACGAGGACCAAGATGAGGGAGTCGTGATTCAGCGCGAGGGAAACCCCACGCCGGCGCTGGCCAATGGGACAGAAGAGGCCACCAAGAAGAAGAAGAAAAAGGCCGCCGCAGCCGACGTTGTCGGCGAGAACGGTGTTGGTGGCGGTGGTAAAGACACCGCTGCCGGCAACGCGATAGAGCTCGCGAAGAAGGAAAAGAGGAAGGCGAAGGAGAAGCGCCAGAAGAAAAGCCAGGGCGCTGATGACTCGGAGGAGGTGGAGCCGTCCGGAATTCCGTTTGCCCTCCCAATGCCAGGTACCAACCTTGTTGCGTAGGTTGCATGATGTAAGATACCACACCCATTTGGACCGATTTTTTGCACATTTTCACGGCTCGATTACTCCACGACAAGGAAAAGGATACACCCACAATCAAATGATACATTCTCAAAAAGCCGTCAACAAGACGGCACTTCCAGCGCAGCCATTTCCGGCACCGTCGCTGCTGTTTTTGGCTGCGGAGTAGTCGACCTCTCAATATCGATCCAGGGGGTCTGGTATCTTGAGCGACCTGCGGTATTGTCATATGCTGTGGCGCCGAGTCACAGTAAATTGAAACTACTCTGTCTGGGCGCCCCGGCGAAGCATCTGGTGCATAGGCTATGTTGCGGCCGTAACATGCATCTACAGGAAGGCCCTTAGCACCGGGTCGCTTCAGGAACAAAGTCTCCATCAAGGTGCAGCCGGTTCCTCGTGCGGACCCTCGCGGTACTCGACATTGATTTGCTTCTGTTGCCCTCTGGTACCGCGCCGTCCTTTGCTTAGCGCCTCTCTCTGTGCCGTGTAAACTCTCTCTTTCCCAACAACGTCGGCACAGGCGCTCGTGCCACTCCCTCCATCAACCCCACTGGTCGCTCCCGGTCCGCTTCCATAGAGAGCGCGGCCGAATTCTTCAGCACCAAGGGTCTTTCCGGAGACAAGGCTAACGGCACCATCGATGATGGCAGGGGTGATACTGCCGCAAAGAGTAACGCGGGAGCTATCAGCAACGGCAGTGTCCATCAGGGGGCCGACTCTGGCCATGGCTTGGGGCGGCGCAAACGAGAAGAGGGCAGTGGCGGTGTTGGGGCAGCGACCGCGGCCCTGGGCAGGGGGCGAGTGCCTCGAAAGCACCAGGAGCAGAGGAGAGGGCTTCCCATCTTCGCCCACAAAGCGGACATCATTCGCGCTGTCAAGGACCACCAGGTCAGATCTACACCCCATCTGTTTTGGGTTGTATTTCGCTGCTGTGAAGGAGCGACGCCATATGTTTTGTTTGCAGCAGTGTTGTTGCATACCGCAACCGAGGGGGCCACCGCTGTAACACGCCCCAAGCTTTGTTGGTACCGTACCGCTGCGGCGGCTTGTTGTAGAGACGCCCTCGAGAAATTTGCGCACGCTCTTCACGGCGGTATGTCTCTTGGCCAGGGGGTTTGCTGTTGCATCTGTGATGACAAACATCTGCTCCGTATCGTCAGCCCAGCCTGTTTGCTGTAGAGCATTCACCGCGCGTTTTTACTTGTAGATTTGCAGCACCAGCAACCCGTTGAGGCAATTGCAGCAGCTCAGCGTCCACACGCTCTGGTGTTGTTCGCGTGGTCATACCAACCGTAGTTGGTGATGCCACAAGCGTCGCCCAGGCCTTTTTACGCAAGAAGGACGGTCTTGCAAGGTGTAAGGCTACCCGGGAGGGACTCTTCGTGTATCCCCTCCACGTAGACAGCGGTACCATGCCGTTGAACCAACAGCGAGCTGGCACACAGTATCGCCAGCTCCCGCGGAATCCCTAAACGTAAAGCGGATGAACTAGGGTAACGACGTTTTTTTGTTGCTTGCGCTCGCGAGTTGCCTGTAATAGGGGTTTTGTCTTTCTTGGCTGACCCGCTTGTTTTTCTCCCCTTTTGTCGCTCGATCGTCAGACCGTCGTTGTTGTCGGAGAAACTGGCAGCGGAAAGTCGACCCAGATCCCCCAGTTTCTGTACGAGGCCGGGATAACGAGAGGGGGTGCCGGCTGGATACCGGGCGGGGAGTCGGGGTGAGCTTAAGCGACGCCAAGGATTCGCTGATTATGAGTTTGAACGAGACGTGTCACACTCTACGTTGTCACACTCGACGGGAACAGTAGTGTTTGTAGTTTCGTTTCCAGAACGAAACGCCTCGATTGTTTGTGGGTTGGCTGAGAGTGACGGTGCGGCAATATGCTGCAAACACCATCGTGTGATTGTCTTCGTGTGCGCATGTTTGGCGAAAGAAGGGCGGCGGCAAGTTCTGCTGCAGCGTCAGCGTGTCGTGGCTGCGCTGCCTTCCCACCTTATGTAGGAGAGAGCCTACCGTATAGGTTCGGCCGAAAATCGATCATTTTTATTTTTTACAGATCGGTAACTCCACGACCCATACAGTGGGGGTCCCTGTTTAGTGCCGGTATGTGCCCAGAAAATTCACCGGCACTATACCGGACACCGGCACTACGGCACTATTCAAAGTACAGAATTACTTGAAAATAGTGTGTGCCCGCCGAAAACACCACCACTATACCGGGGCATTGGCGCTATTCAACCGGCACAAAACAGGGACCCTCACTGCTGTAGAGGTTTGTTCCGATAGAGCCCCCAACCGACATGTCAAGGAGAAGGCACTCTCTCGACGACGTGTTTTGCCAACACCACCCGTTTTTGGCGTTGGCATCCAGCCTCCTGGTTGTGGAACAGTCGAGCAATTAAACAACCGTTCGCACCGCACGGGTGCGCGTTCGACTGCGCCTTTGCGGTACGTGCATCTCTTCGCCCATGCCCTTCTCGCTTCCTTCTCAGCCATGGGGTCTCCCGATCAACGCATCCCTTCGCCATGCCCCTGTTCCCTCTCAGCAATGACATACATCGCCCGATCAATTTGTGTCACCTTTTTTCTCAAGACCTCACCCGGGCCCCCGCTATATATATTCGCCCCGTTGTGCCACCGCTCTACAGGGAGGCCACGACGGCGGCAAGAGGGAGCGGCAAGAAGCGAGGGCGGGCTCCCAGCCAGGAGGACGTTTTCAAGGGCAGCAGCAGCAGCGGCCCCGACAAAAGGGGTTTTCAGGGAGGCCTTATCGCCTGCACGCAGCCGCGAAGGGTGGCGGCGGTTACAGTGGCCAAGCGCGTGGCCGCGGAGGTCGGGTGCGACCTGGGGAACACGGTTGGGTACACCGTCCGTTTCGACGACCGTACTTCGAAGAGGTGGGTTTTGATTGGCTGGCTTGTGGTTCGGTCGAGTTGCGTCGGGGTGTGCGTGAAATCATGGCCTTGATTTGATGGTTGGACCCGATCGCGGTCGCGCTCTCGAGAAGAAAGTTTGATGTGGCGGCGGTGAGACAGGGGGTGGTGTTGGTTTGCTCACGCCCGATGCGGGCGAACTAAGACTGTCGTGGTAGGGTGGGCGGTCCGGAGGGGATTGTGATGGTTTTCCCAACGGCGGGGTGTGATTGTGACACGTCTATCTAGGGTTAGAATTGTCGCTGAACTCCTGGGGAAGGTGAGTTTGGCTAGGCTGACAGAAAAAAAGCGCGTACTTGCAATTCCTTCTGTAGAAGACCCTAGAAAGACTAAATTTCGGCCAACATTTCTTACAGTAATTGTATTCCAAACTGAAACAAGTTGGTAGTTGATTCCTGGAAGTAATTGCTTCTAGTTTTGGTCGAGAAGCAATACTTCTACTTCATTCACACCAGAGTTTACTTTGGAGGGGACTGAGAAGGAACCAACTAAAAGTTATCACGTCCTCTCGGGATGCGATTTTTTTTGTCTTTCAGACCCATGTTTATGGTTTCCAAATCTTTATCTTCCTTTCTTTGGACAAATGTTGACTTTTTCGACCTTTTGGGCAGTCTGCCTCCCGAACGAATGCGAATCAGCTGTTCGACCTTTGAGAATAGTCACAGCTTTGCCTGAGATGTATACAGGCCGCCTATTTGTTTCGCCAGGGTCCACGTTTGATTTTTTTTCCAGCAGAGCAAGATGTGCAATTTTCGGCCGAAAGACCACCTCGGAGCAAATCTTGGGCCAAGATCTGTCCAAAAGCTGGTGTTGGAAAAATCTTGCGTGAAAAATGCGCATCTTGCAAAAATCAAACGTGGGCCCTGGCGAAACATGTAGGCGATCTGTAGACATCTCAGGCAAAGCTGTGACTATTCTCAAAGGTCGAACAGCTGATTCGCATTCGTTCGGGAGGCAGACTGCCCAAAAGGTCGAAAAAGTCAACATTTGTCCAAAGAAAGGAAGATAAAGATTTGGAAACCATAAACATGGGCCTCACTTCAAATCAGCGCTCGCACACATCGTTTTTGCCGTGTAGGAACTCCTGTACGTTGTGCCACAAAACGGGTGCCATACGTAGAGAGGGAAAATAGGGTCGTGATTTTTGCACTTGGCGCCTGTTTCTGTGTGCATCGCGGACGTAGGACACATCGTCATGAACCGTGTCTTGATCGCACCCCCGTTCTCTTCCCCTCCCCCCCGACCGATGCACGCCTCATTCCGTTATCGAACACCACTTCCCTTTTGCGCGTTGTACGGCCCCCCGCCTGTTTGGTTTGCCGAGCAGCACTCGCATCAAGTACATGACTGACGGGGTACTGCTGCGGGAGGCGATGAGCGACCCTCTTCTCTCGGCCTACTCGGCTATCGTGCTAGACGAGGTGATGAGAGAGGCCCCGGGCCTGGCTAGCTAAATAGCTCTTCTTGACGTAATTCGCACGGGATGCCGCAACCCGTGGGTCGAAATTGAAAGCTCGACTGTTTCAGTACGAAGAGCATGCCAATGACAAATAGTTTGTTTTCGGAGAGCTCTCGACGTGAAGGTTCGAAGAGTAGCAACGGCCGACCTGTTATCCCATACCGCTGCACCAGCCGGTTTCTGCGAAGTTTTTCATCCCAACATAATGCTGTTCTCTTTTCGCTTTTTCTCTTGTCGCTCTTCTCTTTCACGCTCGCCGCACGCCCCACGCAGAAACACCCGCCATGAGAAAAAAAGTGGCCGCCTTCGCGATTAATAAGTTTGTGAGGAAGTAGAACAGAGAGAGGGTACCTAGACCCTATCCCTAACCCTGACCCCCAACCCAACTTCCCCGATTGCATGCTTTATCCAACATGTTCACTTAATAGGAAACCCCTGCGAAGGCTACTCAGGACAAAGCATCACGCGGCTGGAACTCTCCATTCAACGCACATGCCAGCTTTTGTTTATCGTTCTCCTGTCCCACAACTGCTGTTCGTCGGTTACCGCTGACCGAAGACCGCGCCCTTCCAACGTCCCAGGCGCATACCGACACACACGCCAGCTCAGCGTGATGACCTCCTGTATGGGGGTTGCCATAGTCAACTGCTGTTGGTTACCGCTGACCGAAATCGGCGCCCTTCTAACTGTTGGAGTAAAACCTTGGCCCATTCCGTGTTTGGTATAGAACTTGAGTATAGAACCTGAAATTCTGAATGCTGACGCCCCAGGCACACGAGCGCAGCCTGGACACGGACATCCTGTTCGGACTGGTCCGTCGCCTCCAGCCGAAGAGACCGGACCTCAAGGTGGTCGTTATGTCGGCCACCTTGGACGTCGATCTCTTCCGACGATTTTTTAGGGTGGGTGGCAGCAGCAGCAGCAGCAGCAGTACAGAACACGCCCGGAGATAAAGAAACGTCAAAATCGGGTCGAGGCTCAGTTTCTTGTTTTATCGCCCACAGGTTGTTCTATACTAGAGTGTATTTTTTCCACCGCCGAGCTGTGTTGCTTTACCCTTTTTTCTTTATTTTCGTGAAATTTCGAGCTTCTGTTTCTTCACGAATTGCTGTTTGGGGTGTCGGCACGTGTACTATGTTATCACGCTCGCGGGCTCTTGTCGAAAGCGTCTTGAATAAAGGAGTGATTCAAGTTCCTTGATTATTTAGAGAGTGAGACATGGGCAGGCAAGCAGAGCCTAGCGCGTCAAGTCCATCACACCCATCATGTATATCTATCTATCTGCGTACCCCCCCCCCCGGAGATCTCGGAGGTTCGTATCCTCCGAGTACACACACAAACAAATTCTTCTATTTCTTTGCTGCGGGGCTGTTCTGTACCAACAGCAATAGCAGCAGCAGCGGCAGTGCGAACGATAATGTTGCGGATTCTAATGCTGCAAGTTCGGCGACGGTAGGGTCAGCATCTTGTTGCTCGGTGTTGGTGCTCGTCCAACTCCTGCGTCCCCCCTGACGGCAGAACCCTTTCGCCACATTTTTTTTTATCCCCATCCGATGCCCGATGTAGGACTGACGTGTTTTCATTTCTCAACCGGTTAGCCTGGTCGAGAAGGCAATAATGTTAATATACTCTCCCCCTTACCCACGCACGCCCGGCGTGCACCGTTTTCGGTCGATGTGCAGATGTTTGAAACTCCAAACAACGCACCTCTCCTGTAATAGTGCTACCGACGACTTGAACCTGTTGCATTTTTTTCTGTTGTCCGGATGTTTGGGACTCAGAACCTCGCATCCGTCCTATCACAGCAGTGCTACCTATGACTTCAACAACGTTTAATTTCTTTTTCTATATATTGTGCGGATGTTTCGAATTCGAGCCTCGCTCCTCTCCTATGATTGTTTACCGATGACTTGATTTTTTTTTTGGCTCGCGGCGGAAACCCTGTGCGTCGCAGGACTCTGTGAGCCTCCACGTGCCCGGTAGAACGCACCCGGTTGACGTCATGTACGCCACGGAGGATCAGGTAACCTAACCTATCCCCACCGCACATCTCTGTTGTTAACCCTGACCCTAAAGCCCTACCCCTATGCCATGGAGGATCGGGTAGCCTTACCTTGCTGCAAGTGGATGCGTGCTTTCGTTTTGGGGATAGATGGGCGGGAGGAGAACAGCGAGCGGTGCGTTGCTGTTTCATTAGGACAGTGCTGCTTGCGCTTGTTTCTGCCCAGAGTATTTGTTTCGTGGCCGAATACGGTTCATCCTGACGCGCAATGCTTTCTTCGATGGGCGGCGACGTTTCAAGGAGTGTATCGGCAAGCGTGAAGCGTTCGGCGCGCCGAAAAAAAACAAAACGAGGTTCTGATTCGAGTTTTTGCAGGAGTTCCTCTCCTATCGGAAACATTGCTGAGCGATTCCTAGACAGGAATGAACACCAGAACCAATTTCGACCCCCCCCTCAATCCCGGCGTATCGCTAGGGGCGTATAGTCAACGGTCAAACGACCACGGCATGCGTTTGCATGGTGATGTGAGAGCCTGGTCCGGTGAGAACCCGGCGTGCTCCGTCCCGGCTCTGTAGGGATGCGAGGTCAATGGTCTAACGACTACGGCATGCACGACTATGAGTACACCCCCCCCCGCCCCCCGCCCCGCCCCCCGGTGTTGCCGCCGATGTGTGTGACCTCTACCCCTGCTTGCCTCTAACCCTGATCCGCCTCGGCGATGCCGCCTAACCCCGATCCGCCTCGGCGATGCCGCCGCTGCCGCGGCACGTTTATGCAGGACGACTACTTGGACGCGTGCCTGATGACCTGCCTGCAGATACACGAGGACGAGGAGGGGGACGGGGACGTCTTAGTGTTCCTCCCCGGCCAGGACGACATCGAGGCGTTGTCGCAGCTGCTGCGGGAGAACCTGGCCACACTGAGGGCGGAGAAGTCGAGGTACGGTAGTGGCAGTTGTCCTCCGTATTCCGCAGTTTGCGTAAGATTTACCCACACCCCTGCCGACATCGAGGCGTTATCGCAGCTGCTGCGGGAGAACCTGGCCACGCTGAGAGCGGAGAAGTCGAGGTACGGTACAGCGGTGACGGTCCCCTGTAGGTGACGCAAGATATCACCTCCCCCCTGGACCGATTTTCGAAGCTCGATTACGATATCACATCACGTAGACCAATTTTCAAAGCTCGATTAACATTTCACACCCCCTGGACCGATTTTCGGAGCTCGATTATTCGATTGCCATATCACATCCCCTTGACCGATTTTCAAAGCTCGATTGGGATACCACATCCCCTGGACCGATTTTCAAAGCTTGATTACTCGACGACGAAGAGAATGGTGTCCAAATCGAACGATACTTGGTCGGGGGAGACGGTTCCAACACAGCGCTTTTCGGCACGGCCACTCCTCTGCTGTGGAACAATCGAGCTTCGGAAAGGGGGTGTGTTATCTTGCGTCAACTGCGGTAAAGCCGCTGCGTAGTGCCATGATAATCGGTTGGCCTTGTACCGGGCAGCCTACCACTGTTCGGGTGTATCAGATAGCCTACCGCTGAATATTAATATTCAATTTGTGCCACCCGATTCACCGGCCTTATATCCTACACAGGGCGGCCTTTTTTTTCCGGCGTTTTTTCAGGGACCGCGTGTACCCTTGTACGGGAACCGCTATTGCACCGGGGTCGGGTGTCTGCGTCTTGTTGTTCAACTCGGATGGATGATGGATGGATGTGTTTAGAAAGTGAAAACGTGTTGCGTTGCCTGCGTACCGATCTCCATTGGTCGTGTGCATTGGCCCGTGCTTCAGGAAGGGGACAGATGATCTTCGTCTAAATTCGGATGTCGACTCAGACGATACCGCCTCCTTTTTATTTTTCTCTAATTTGTTAATTAATTTATATTTCACGTCTCCTTTCTTGTTAGCAGAGGGCAGATGCCAATGCTCGCTTTCCATTGTCCCCCTCGTTACGTTTCCTGTCAAGGGAGCTAGCGGCGGCGGCGGCGGACGCGGCGGCGGCGGCAGGCGACGAGGAGTTCCAACGGCCACGGAGGCGGGGCGGGGATGACCTCCGGGGGCAAGGGGACGGCTTGCTGAGGGAGACGATGGTGTGCCCGGTGTTCGCCGCGCTGCCCCAGGAGCAGCAGCTGGAGGCGTTCGAGCCGGCACCGAGGGGGACCCGCAAATTCGTGTTGGTGGGTAACCAGACCGTATACAGATTTGTAGAGTTTTTCTTCTTGGGTTGTTGAGGTTCGGTGGGCTTTTCTAGTAATAATTCGTCAAGTGTGTGAGCCATTTTGCCGTTATGTGTGTCATCGACGGGCTCGGTCGTTTCTTTTTTATTCGAGGTCCTCGCCGTAATGTGTGCCGTCGAGGAGCGCTCCGCCATTCCTGTTTTGTATCCGAAGTCCTTGTTGTATTTTGTGACATGGAAGAGCTCTGTCATTTGTGTTTTTGATCCGCGGTCCTTCGGTGGCACAGGCATTATTCTAGTTTGTGTGTGTGTGTTTATCGTCATTCGTATCCCCGTTCGTGCGCATTTTGAATGTTTGACCCCTGGTGTGCACCGTACATTCCCTATCAAGACTGAAAGAGTATTTGTGTGTCCTTTACGCGCTTCGCGTGGGTATGTTGGTACCGGCAGGCCACAAACATTGCGGAGACGTCCATCACGATCAACGGGATCCGCTACGTCGTAGACTCCGGCAAGGTCAAGGTGAGACAGACAGACAGGCTGACGCAGATCCTTCATTGCTACGGTCATCGACAATTTATCAAGTCAGTGATACAAGAAGAAGGTTCGGGTTTGGTATAGCACTGTCGTAGTAGAGCGTTATTTGGGGGAGGGGGGCCATGGGCCGATGCTGGTTCGTGTACGTTCTCAGCGGGTGTCTCCTACCCCCGTCTTCCGAAGTCTTGCTCTCGCCACACCGCCTCCAGAGCACATGTGCTGACTTTCTGCATTCCTTCTTCCCCCTCTCTCCAAAACGTGCCCGCTACAGCAGTACCTCCCTGCCGATCGCCATTTGTCGATTATTCATGATGTCCCGCGAAATGATTCATTGTGTCCCGCATGGTGTCCCATAATCAGGTTCGCTCATTCCAAGCTTCCACGGGTATGGAGTTCCTGCGGTCTCAGGACGTTTCCAAGGCCCAGGCGACGCAGAGGGCGGGACGGGCCGGGCGTGAGGCGCCCGGCGTTTGCTACAGGCTTTTCAGGCAAGGAATGAAAATTCCCTGCCTGTGTGGCCTTCCTCCTGGGTGACCCCGACCGACACGTCATAGACTACCGCATACGACATGACACAAGATAACACACACCCTGGATCGATTTTCAAAGCTCGATTTATTAACAGCAGAAAGAGTCGCAGCGCCGAAAACGGCGGCGTTCAAGCCGTCTGGTCGACATCTCTCCGAAAACGTATCGTTTCGTTTGTGCATCCTCTTCGTCGTGGAGTAAGGTAGCTTTGAGAATCGGTCCAGGGGATGTGTTATCTTGTATCATGTCGTATACGGTATGTACCTTCTATGTGGCCACGGGTTGAAGAACGCGGCACGAATGCCGTAAGCGCTGGTTTGAAGTGATGACAACTACAACGGAATGGTGTAGACTGGCGCCAGAAGAGATGCGGGAAAAATATCTTGTACAGGGTTTGTCGGAAAAGACCGAGCTGAAGTTGCCAGGGTAGGTAGCCATAAGGACAGCGTGGAAGTGACTATTAAGGCAGGGATGAGGTAACTAACGGACGGAAAGGCGGTATCTGTAGGGAAGCAAGGCGGTAATTACTAGGACAGCAAGGCAGTGTCTAAAAGGACAGAAATGAGGTCTCTAGAGGAAAGGAAGGAGGCAGCTAAAATGGCAGAAAGGCGGTGTCAAGAAGGCAAGAAGGTGGCATAAAGGACAGGACATGGGTGCTGCAACTGTTAGGACGGCCCACTCTGATATATTGACACGTTGGTCTTTTATTGTAGTAAGCAATGGTGCTGCCCTGGGGTCATTGCTGACAAATGTCGCTGCCGTTGTCAGACCGACGTGCTTGTGGCGTGTGTCGAAGGAGCGTGAGCCACGGTACATGGTACCCATCGTGGTTGAGCTTGTCCATATCGCTCCATGATGGTCCATCCCGCTCTAAGTGCTACGCAATATAGTGCACCACACCTTCTCTGTACCTGATGGGTCTGTGGCTCTGATTGCCTGTGCAACGCTGATTCTAAGTGCTCCCGTCGTTTGTTGTAGTTGCACTGCTGGCTATCCCATTCTGAGTGCTACGCTAAAGGTTGCACTTCAACTGGTGGGTCGACGACTCTGACCACCTGTCCCGCTGATTACCCATAGTTCGGACAACTTTATGAATCAGTTAATCACCCCTCCCTCGTTCTCTCTCTCTCGTACCACATGATATCCTTACTTGCGCTGGGGGGGAGATGTCCCCTTCTTCTGCATGAGACATCATAAGTTGAAAATAACTTTTTGCCTGTTGTTTGTTGTGTCTGCGCCGGTGGCGTACAGAGAGGACTCGTACCTAGAGCTGGGCGACGCGCCTATACCGGAGATTCTCAGGGTCAACCTTGCCCAGGTAAGGAATCCGTGCTAGGGTGCTGATGCTGCTACTAATGCTGTTGCCGTTGCTGCTGCTGGTGGTGCTGCTGGTGGCGCTGCTGTTGTTGTTGCTGGTGCTGGTGCTGGTGCTAGTGCTAGTGCTAGTGCTGGTGCTGGTGCTGTTGTTGGTGGTGCTGGTGCTGCTGTTGTTGTTTCTGGTGCAGCTGGTGCTGCTGCAGCAACAGCAGCTGCAGCAGCTGCAGCAGCAGCAGCAGCGGTTCTGAGAATCCGGTTGATCGCGCGATGTCGCCGTCACAGAAGCACCCCTCCTGCAGGAGTAGGAAACCGTGTGGCGGTAAGAGTGACTGCTACTTGTAGAACGCACGAATCGGGGTACTAAACCTGCACCTGCTGGATTCGTTGTGTCATGTTAAGAAAAAAAAAAAAAAAACGCATCCCGTTCGACTGCATGTCCACCTAAATTGGAGAAGCTCTGACGCATGGCAGACGAACCAAGTAGGTCGAACCAGACGGCTGCGCCGTCCCGGTACGCGCTGTTGCCGGTAAAGCTTGTACTGTGATGATGGCATGGTAGGTTGGCGGGTGGGTCGCCCACCGGGTGGTATTCGGCGCTCCTCGTGATTGCGGGGTCGAAGGCTTGGCGTGCCGACGATGGCCGGTGGTCTTGGTTGTTTCTCCTTAACTATTGAAACATCATGCTCCGAAACGGCCACATTTTGTGTGTGTGTCTCTCTCTCTCTCTCTCTCTCTCTCTCTCTCTCTCTCTCCGTCTCTCTCCGTCTCTCTCTCTCTCTCTCCGTCTCTCTCCGTCTCTCTCCGTCTCTCTCTCTGTTCATCTTCTCTTTTGTACATCTGTCGGTCTCTCTGTCTGTCAACCCCTCGCAATCCCTCTGCGTGTCTCTCTCTCTCTCTCTCCATCTAGAGCCACGATCGAGTGGACCATTTTTTTTCAGCCGCGTGTACCCTGGTGCCCCTCTCAGCTTAGCAAGCCCCACCCACCCATTCTCATCCTCTCGTGCACACATCGCCGGCCACCAGGTGGTGCTGCAACTCAAGGTGATGGGCATAGACGACCCTTCCACCTTCGACTACGTCACAGCCCCCAGTCGCGCCGCACTGCTGAAGGCCCTCAAGACCCTGGCCATGCTCGGCGCCTTGGACAAGTCGGCCAGGGTCACCCCGGACGGGAGGAAGATGGCGGCACTGCCGCTGGACCCGGCCTTTGCGCACTTGCTCGTAAGGTCTGTGCCCTCGTGGTGTGCGTACCGCATACGACATGACGCAAGATAACACACACCCCGGACCGATTTTCGAAGATCGATTACGCCTCGACCAAGAACATGTATAAACGAAACGATACGTTTTGGGAGAGCTCTCGACCAGACGGTTTCAACGCCACCGTATTCGGCGCTGTGATTCCCTCTGCTGTTGAGAAATCGGTCTTTGAAAATCGGTCCAGGGTGTGTGTTATCTTGTGTCGTACACCGTGTCGTATACCGTATACGACACAGGACAACACACACACGTAAGGTAACACCCCCCACACACACACACACAACACCACGCCCGGTGAGAATTTTGGTGCGGGTCAACATGAAAAGTACTCCCAGATCAAGTATTAGTAGGGCGACATGGGGTGCTACACTCCCTTCGCAGCTAACCCACTTGGTGATACTCTATGTGTAGAAGGCGAAGTGTTCTATATCACCGGGGGTGTTTTGCTTTGTTGTGTACGGTATATGCCGCCGGTATGCAACCAAAGAAGTCGGTTGCCTCATGCTCCAGAAAGATGAGACACCCCTATTTTTGCTTGGTGTGGTGTTTTTTTTCTTGTGTTTTTTTTCTCGGGAGTCTCCTCCGCATGCTTGACCATGACTCCAGGTAGACGCCCCCGTGGTAAGGCCTATCGGAGCCCAGCTGCATATGAAGGGCAGTACCAAACCATTGGTGGCCCAGGTCTCCTCGGCACAGAGTCATGCAACACGCGTTTGTTGTTGTCGTTATGATTGTTATGTTTTTCCTTCTGTTGGTAAATCCTGTATCTCCTTGAAAATGGGGCATCAGTTCGACTGTCACACGGACTCTTGGAGACCTAGACGGGTGGGGTGGAGGGAGAGGAACCCTCCTGTGTCACTGACCACGGATTCGAGCTCTCCTACCCAGCAGAAATACGTTGAGCGCTAATTTTAAACCAACAAGAAAATGACCTATCACCAAGCAGGGCGTCTCTTTGCCATCTCTCGGTCACCACTCGTGTTTCTTCAGGTCGGCGGAGCCTAGGTTCTCGTGCGTGAAGGAGGTTTTGACCACCGTGGCCTGCCTTTCGGCAGAGAACCTGCTCTTCTATCCTCCCAAGGTTGGTTGGCTTGGTTGTGTGTGTCCCAAGCGACAGAAGTTTTTACCAATACAGTTACAAGGCCAGCACTTAAAGAACCTATTATTTGGCGGAGGTTCGATCTGATTTTGTCTATGGGGTACAGTAGTACCCCCACGACGACGATACAGGTTTCAGTTTTGGCTGAGCACCTGTTTTATGACCAATTTTTTTTTTTTTTGTAATTTCGGGGTTCAGTTCTTAAGTACCAAGTTGTTACCGTAGGTTGTTGCATAAGATACCACTCCCCCAGGAACGATTTTCAAAGCTTCATTACTCCACGACGAAGAGGATGCTGAAACCAAAGGACTACGTTGTCGGAAAGCTCGTGACGAGACGGTTCCAACGCCGCCGTTTTCGGCACGGTCACTGCTTTTACTGCCGAGTAATCGAGCTTTGAAAATCAGGCAAGGGGTGCGATATCTTATGCAACCTACGGTAAATGCGGGCCTGTTCTGTGGTCCGGGTCGTGTTGCATCCGGGGTTCCCTACGAGCTTGCCATTTGGCTACCGTATACGACACAAGATACACACCCCCTGGACCGATTTTCAAAGACCGATTTCTCAACAGCAGAGGGAATCACAGCGCCGAAAACGGCGGCGTTGAAGCCGTCTCGTTGAAAGCTCTCCCAAAATGTATGGTTTCGTTTATACATGTTCTTGGTCGAGGCGTAATCGAGCTTTGAAAGTCGTTCCAGGGAGTGTGTTATCTTGCGTCACGTCGTATACGGTAGTGTACAAGGGTGGTCGCAACAATAGCACGGGCTCGAACCCAAGCGCCGCACACGTGCTGGATGTTTTGCTGCTTCGAAATTTTTACGTTCCGCGTATAGGGTCTGAGACGACCTTGCAAGGACCATGGAACTTGCGTGCCAGGTTGTCATGCGCATTTTAAAATGGTTGGATTCGATGTGTTTTTGAGAAAAAGAAAAAAATGGTGCTGCTTGCGACGGGCACGTAGGCGGTTCGTTTCCCTTCTGACCATGTGGGCTTGCGACGTAACAGGGAAGCCTTAGCTTCTGTTGAGCTGGTTTCCAAGACTCCATGATTCCATCATTCGTTATCCCTGAGTGCCGTTGTCAATACCGCCTGGTACACCGACTGCTGTAGGGAACGGGTGTGCGTATCTTGTGAAGCGCCGTAGGATGACCAGTTTTTAGTGGAATCGCAAATCGCGCCTTTCGATCTTTGTTGTTGTTGTTGGTATTGTTGTTTTTGTTGTTGGTGTTGCCGTCGTTGTTGTCGGCCATGCTGTCGTGTTGACCGTGTTTTGTTGCTGTTGCTGTTGTTGTTGTTGGTCATGTTGTCGTGTTCACCGTGTTGTTATTGTTGTTGTTGCTGCTGCTGTTGTTGTTGTTGGTCATGTTGTCGTGTTCACCGTGTTGTCATGGCTCGGCAGGAGGAAGCCAAGCGAGCGGCGAACGAGGCCCACCAGAGCTTCTCGGCGTACGAGGGTGACCTGCCCACCCTCTTAAGAATCTACGAAAGCTTCCTGAAGGTGATGATTTGAGTATTGTCGTCATTTTGCAGCTTCATACACAGCGAGACGTAGCTCTCACGCATGCATACCTACAGTGCGTGCTTGTCGTTAGGAAGCCTCTTACACAGCTGGGTGGAGCTCGTGCGTGAGCACTTGCGTGTGGCGCGCCCTCTTGCGCATCTACTATAATAGCTGAGCCTCATTTCCTCATTTTCTCTTACTGTGTGTTTTCGATCCGATCTGTTCTTTTCTTTGCTAAATACCAAGGAGCGAAAAGACCCCGAATGGTGTAGGCGGAATTTCGTCAACGGCCGCTCCGTGGCTCGAGCCGTGGACGTGCGACAGCAGCTCGCCAAAATCCTTCGCGAGAGATTGAGGATCGACCCCGAGGTACATCGGTTGTTATTGTTCTTGTTTCTCTTCCGAGTCTCGACATTATTCCCAGTTTTTTCGGTGCTCCGAAGGGTCCCGCGTCTCATTGTTCGCTCTTGTGTGGGGTCTTGAACGCGTAGACTATTTTGTCGGGGTATGTATTCGCTACTAAGTATGAAGTTTGTTTGTTTGTTTGTTTGAGGTGCTTTCATGTGGTGTGGCGGTCATGGGCTACTGGTCATGTTTTTGTGTCTTCTTCCCGTGTTTCATCCCCCTTCCTCGCCATGTTTTGACGGTCTTGCGATCAGCTTGCCGGGACTTTGATGCTTGCCGTGTGCGCTGCCGCCACGTACCACATCGCATGCGGCGACTGCCCTTGATGTTCGTGCAGAAACAGTGGGACTCCTCGGGGTCGAGAATTACGCTTGCACCACCAAGAGCTGTCCTTGTTAAACTTTGATCGATTAGACTATTCCGTTAGACTTCATCGACAGCCAGCGAAGTAGTCTATTAGTGGATTAATTCGCCTTCATCCATCAAAAGATTTACCGTAGGTTGCGTAAGATATCACACCCCCTGGTCCGATTTTCAAAGCTCGATTACTCGGCAGGAAAGGCAGTGACGGTGCCGAAAATGGCGGGAGGCGTTGGAACCATCTCGTCGAGAGCTATCTTTCCGACAACGTTATCCTTTTGATTTCAGCACCCTCTTCGTCGTGGAGTAGTGCAGCTTCGAAAATCGTTCCAGGGGGAGTGGTACCTTATGCAACCTATGGTAGACCCGGGTTCGATTCCCAGCGGATAAGCCTAAGGCGACCGCTCTACACTCTCTGTTGTTTGCATGTTTGCATGTTTGCAGGAGTCCTGCGGCGCGGAAACGTCCCAGTATCTCCGCTGCTTGGTGGCTGGACTCTTCACGAACGTGGCCTTGCGGCAGCCATCCACAAGCGGAGGAGGAAGCCGCGGGTGTTACCGCACCGTGCTCGGTGGCAGGTACGCGTTGGTTGGAGTTGCGGTTTTTACCATGGTATATTGGTTTCGCGGGGGGTTGGCGGGTTTACCGTAAGAGACGGAGAGGTGGGACGGATTTTCAAGCTCGATAGCTCCACAACCAGGGTTGTGCCAACTCAAAAAATATTGGCTTTTGTTAGGAAATCGAGCTTCGAAAAATTCGAATTCCAAGAACTCGAGCATCATCCTCGGTAAAAAATCCATACACTAATAATACCCCTACAATTGTATGTTAACGGCCATTCGTAGCATCACCCCAGGAAGTAGAACCTCAGCTTCTGCAACTCTAGAGGTTCTTAAGTGCGGGCGCTAGCTGCACCTCTTGTCCTTGGTGTGGCGGTTATTTCCCGTGGTATGTCGGTTTCGAGGGATGCTCGCGGGTTTTGATGACACGACGGACTTGGCTGCTGAACCCAAGCCAAGCCGAACAGTTTAGGGGCTTGTTGCTCTTTTCATGATTTCAACGGATATGTACGTAGCGTAGAGCGCCTGACGACCCGTTGGATTTTTTCGCGGTGGAATTTGTAACCGTCACGTGGTCGTACGCAACGTGCTCTGGCGACCCAGCCGGGAACCAACGTACGCTGGATACTGGTCGCCGAGCCCATGTATTGCGTGGGGTGGGAGCGGGGGGGCGTGCTCATGTTTTGCATGTCTTAGAGGTTAGACCATTGACCACGCGTCCTCGAGAGGGGGGGAAGCTTTGGCTGGTGGCAAAAAAGAAACTGGGTGTGCATATGCATGGCAGCATGTCAAGTGCTTGCACCGAAACCTGACCCCCGCCAGTCCCGAATAACGGTGAAAGGGCTAAGGCTCTTTCCTCGCGGACGTTGTGTTTAGCACCGGTTATTCCTCGAGTCTAGTCTGCTCTTCTCGCGTTCCAAATCGAAGGAAAGCACCGCGGGAGGGGGCCTCAGGGAAGAGGAACCCTTCTGTGTGACTACCCACGGGTTGGAGCTCTCCTATCCGGCAAAAAACGCTGTCAGCGCTGATTTAAAGTGGAAAAAAATAATCAAATGCAATAGTTGGCCCTGTATAGTGCCGGTTGAATAGTGCCACAGCCCGGTCCGGTATCGTGCCGGTTAAACCTCTGGACACATACCGGAACTAGGCAGGGCCCACTACTTTGTCTACAACACTTGTCCGTGTCGTTCTTTGTGCTTGTAAGCAGGGAAGCGCAGATCCACCCTTCCTCGTCGCTTTGGAGAAGAAACCCGCCGGCGAAGTGCGTGGTGTTCACGGAGCTGCTGTCCACCAGCCGAGATGTAAGTCGCAACGATGACAATAGCCCGTGCTTAGCTTGTCGGGAGGATCGGGTACTGCTGTATGTTGTTTTTTATGTTGTTGTTGGGAGGGAAGAGTTTGTCTTTGTCGGATAATGTGTGTGTGTGTGTTCGTCCCATCTCTTCTGGCGGCAGTCTAGAGGCCTTTCGGGGTGTGTATTAAGGAACAATAAATACACGCACAGAAAGACTACCCATTCGAGATATACCACAGTCGAACGGTATGTACCTGACGTACCCGCCGGGGTCACACGAAAGGAAGGTTACATAGTTGTACATACGAGCTTGTTTCATTTTTTGTTCGTTTTTGGTGCCCCGCCTTTCCCCTTGCGGGGTGTGCTTGAATATTCTTCTGAATACTACTGTTGCGATGTCATTTTGGGCTTCGGGGATCGTTCTGCGTTGCCGGTGCGGCTGAATACGTGACGACGCTTGAAAACCTCCTTCTCCTGCATGGTTCCAATCTTGTTGGCATTTTTTTTTATCGCGTGAATCGATATCGGCCGTACGTACAGCGGATGCAATGGTTTGGACAATCACGGTCGCTTGTTTCGGTCAAAACATGCATGCCTAAGGTCAACGCATGCATGCCGGGCCAAAGCACGGCGAGCGGAAGTAGCCTCTCCCCTGCCAACCTAGTCTTCCCATCTCGCGACACCCAAGGTTTCGCACGCCCACGTGTGTGGCTACTCCAAACGAAGCCCCGCTCTTTGTGACCCCCCCCCCCCCCTTCTACCGTACCTCTTTGGAAACCCCGCTTGTTGCGTCAATGTTCTTGTTCCTCGAAACTCGATTTTTGGTTGGCACAGTTCATCAAGACCGTCACCGCCGTGGACTCGTCTTGGCTGAGGGAGCTAGTGCCGCAGTACTTTAAGCCTTCAGGCGCCGTGGGAGTGTCGTCGTGACATCCCGACGCCCACTACTTTTGTCCGTCGCACTATGATGCTTGAGTCAAGGAAAGGCACAAAGGCACGCAATTTTTTTATAGGCCAAAATAAACTTGGGGCGCAAGTTTTTCCGGCTGCGAGGTGGACGTCCTAGCTGAGAGTGATCGTCCTGACTTCATGTATTTTTTGTTTGTTTGGACCGCCTTCGGAGGATATTAAGCGTTAGACTATATGTGAAATAGAGTGGGGGTTTCGTAGCCTTTACCCTAACCCCCACGTTACCAAACCAAAGCTATGTGCACCAATGCGCGAGTTGGACGTTTTACATTATAAACAGCGATAGCACATGTTCAAACCTCACCTGGCGATGTCCTGGGCGGTGAAGCTGGCCCATGCTTTCTGGAGAAGTTCAGCGGCATCCCGCACTTGCCGGCCTTGGCGACGCACGAGCTGCAGATCTATCCCCCAAAACGAGTAACCCCTATTAAAACCAGCTGAAAATGTCCTCGCGAAGGCTGCTGCTGTGTTTTTTTGCAACGAGATGGTTTCAGCTCGTCAGGGGTGGGGCTCTCGAGCGTTCGCGGTTTGATTTTGAAGACACTCGCTCCCCTGCATGTGGCCGAGCGCCTGCTGGGCCTGTCGTTGCGGGCTCCAGATCCGACCCTTGTTGTGGATAGCTTTAGGTGGGAACAGCGCAGCTGTTGGCGTGTTGCCCGCAACGCAACGCAAAGATGATGGTATTTATTTGTGGAATGCGGTCGTGCAGAAGAGCGACCCGGGGATGGGGCTCTGGTATGGGATGGCTAGTGGTGGCGGATCGTATCGTTTCCATAAGGAAGCAAAGGAGTGTAGCAATCTCTGATCTTCACCATCTAAGGGGTATCTTCACATGAACATGGAATGCTTGAAACCACTCCCTACCTTCCTATACCTTCGATTAGGTGGGGAGGATCTGTTTCCTTTCCCTGGTTGTCGTCCCACAAGCCCTCACAAAAATTAGAACACGAGAGAGAGAGAGATCGGATCCAGATCGACCACTCCTGTTTGCGACAACCGAGAAATGAATCGTGATCGTCGAAGATCGGCGTTGTACTATTTTACGACCTGCAAGAAAAGACGTGCAAAAACAAGTGTTCTAGAAACCACATACCCACGAATAGATGTACATGGCGGGGGTCGGGAGATGGGGAGGCAGATGACCAACACAGCAGAAAGTGGGCGTTCGAGAGTTCTTCCTTTTGTCCTCCGACGACACCAAGTCCATTTCGAAGTTCTAGAATATATCGATGTGAACTACACTGTAGGGCCGGTGGGGACTCTTGGGTGTGCGGGGAAACAAGGTAGGATCATTAATAAGAACAGCACCAGGATTTCCTGTACGCGTTCAATATCATTTCGAAATTCAGTGAGTGAGAGGCGGTGGCGAAAAGCAGCGCGAAAATCTCCAGGACAATCGCCTGGATCTCCACAGCAAGCAATGCGTAAATTGTGACAACCGGCAACGGCAAGGATGAGGCCGCTTTCTCTGCTAGGCGGCCAAACTCCCACGTCGCAGACCCAACAATCTCGCTGTACACGATCGATGGGAATGGGAATAAAACGAAGGGGGAAAGCAGCTGCAGCGCCGTGACGGTTTCCTCGACGTTTACCGCGTGTGGTAAAACTGACGCCCGCAGCCGTTTCATGTACATACACGAACGCCGCATAAAATGAACACCTTTACGCCCCCCAACAAGTATTCTTCTGCGGACCCCCTCGGCACCGGCGGGAGCTTGTGTGCGCCACACGGGTGTTCTCCTGTTCCCTTCGTCAGGTGAGATGCCGAATGGCTTTGACGACGCGGAGAGGCGCTGCTGTAGTGTTTATCTCGCAGTGTGGATGTTCGATCTGATGGTCTACGTCGAGCGGGGAGCTCGATGGATGGTGTTGCTCGAACACGCCGCGCTGAGATATGGCCACCGCTTGGCGTCGGGAGGTGCTGCTGCTGTGCTGTGCTGCTGTGCTGCAGAGTGAACAGCGTTGTTCCACCTTTTCGTTGCCCAGCCGCGTTGTACTGTGCTCTGCCATTGGCTGGATTGAGGTGTTCGAGGGTGTAAGGTGTATTTTGGAATTGGTGCTTTGGTTTCCGTGCGGACACCTACATAACTCTGCGGAGGCGATGTATGGCCTACAAGGGTACACACACATCGATGATGGTTCGTTCACCAATGTCGGGTCATGGTGTATAGTTGCGCTGAGACTGTCTGGCTAGGGCCAAGTACAACTGCTGGTGGTGAGGTCCAACGCTTGGGCTGTTTCAGACCGTTTTGCAGCTGTGTGGAAAATCCAAGGCGGACGGTGTCGCCTTTGCAGAGAGCGCGTCGGACAAGCCAACTCAAACAAATTTGGATGGGTGTGTTCAGTAAGCAGTAAGCAGCAATCGTCCCTCGTTCGGAGGACAGCAGTGCCGTATAGGTGTAGAATATCCGCGACCTTCTGCACTGGTGTGGAAGCAAGGACTATATTTTAACCAGCCAAATGACCTTGGCGCCTTTCCCTTTTCCAGCAGCTTGATCATGTCTCTCTCGGAGCTCCCAGCACCCCAGAAGAACGACATGGTCGTTAGCCTCGCCGCCCTTCTCCTGGAGGACGCTGGTGAGTCTACCATAACTCTTTCCAGTCACAGCAGCGGCTGGAAACAAGACGATACTTGCACAATGAACGCAGGTTGCTAAGGATGTTGCCCCCCTTGGACACGATTTTTTGAAGCTCGATTCCTCCACGACGAGGAAAGCATGTGCGCAGTTCACTGACGAGTGCCGTTTTCGGCGGTGAACACCTGTTTTTGCTGCGGAGTATTCGAGCTTTGAAAACCGGTCCAGGGGGTGTGGTATCTTGCATTATGCAACCTTCGGTAGGCAGCTACAATATGTAGTTGCGGAGAAGCTTGCATTCAACAGGCAACATGTGTTTTTCGTGTGGGTGTATACTGCGCTACACTTCGCTACTTGGAGAGCAGCATGGTTACGCGGCGCTTCTTCTGTCCGCATGTACAATAGTTGGATGGCTTGGCGGCGCTTCTACTTGCGCTTCTACTTGCCAGGTGTTTTTTGCCAGTCACGAAGAAAAGGACGCAAAATTATCTCACGCCCTTGTCGACGTTTTCCTCCCTGGCAATCATCAGCTGTTGCTTTGAAAACGAGCTGCGCTTGTTTCTCCTCACTTTGTTGCACTGAAACCGCGCTCATGCCGCAGCACAATGTTAGACGGAAATCACTCTTTCATGCCGCGGCAACCCTTCTCACGTCTGTAGATATGCATACGTCGAGAGCATGTTGTATCGACGCGCTTGGGTTGCTACATGTTGTCGGCGGTGCATCTTCCTTCGTGCGACCATCCTGTCGGCGCTGCTTGTGTACATGGCAAGTGCAGTGTAGGCGAGGTTGCAGGGGACGGGAAGCCGCCTGTCGCAAGTCTAGCTAGCACTTTGCATGCGCGTGATACCCTTGGTTCTCGTTGTTTCGTGTGAGTCCCTCTGGTGACGGTACATATTTTTCACCATGGCAACAGTCGTGAGTATTGTTGGCAACACGCATGCCTGCCATTTTAAGAGAAATGCACAACGTCTCCTCCGAACGAACATTGGCGAGATCCCTCCCGACGAACCGGTTGTTTCTCACCCACCATGCGTGTTTCTGTGCTTGTTGCTCGTTGCTCTTCGCTATCGACCGCATCCCTCGTGGCAGGCTCCGTGCTTACCGCCGAGAACATCAGTGCGGTGGTAGCGGCCACGAAGAACGAAGTGCCGGCCTACTACCCCACCCTCTTCGCGGCCATGCTCGAGAAGTCCGAGGGCTGCGCGATGTTCTGCAAGATGAGCGCGGGCGGTGAGCCGTTTTTTGTCCTTTAGTCCAGCAGGCAGAACGGGACCCTTCATTGGTTGGAACGTGCGCCGGCGGCGTGTGTTTTAGTTCGTTTTCATTTATTGCTGCTTGATCAGTCCAGACGTCAGTACAGGAAGCGCGGCGCCGCTCGGCTCATTTCGTTTCCATTGCTGCTCAAGCAGTCCAGACGATCAAGCACGCATGTAGTCATAGCTTTTGGTATATCGTACATGCCCGACGTGGGAGGTTGCTGATGACGTGCCGGCCTTGCTTACAGGAAGAGGCGTCGTTACCGCTCGCTGCGTGTGCGTGCGTTATAATCGGGGATCGTGCGGGCTTGTTCACACCGGCCGTGTATGCATCTACTTGAGGGATTCAGCAAGTGCCAATTTTTTGCGTAGAGGGATATCTAGCTCAAGTGCTCGGAATCTCGAGAATCCACGCGGTCTAACCTGTTGCAAGTTGTGCAGAAAATATTGACACCGTGCGTGCAACAGCAAACGAGACAGCGCGACTAGACGCGAGTGTCTCGAAACGGACACAAGCTGGAAAGCACTCAAATTGATTTCTGGACATTTTCGGCTCAACATCAGCCTACGGAACATCTTATCTTCGCTGCCGTGTAAACATCCAACTTGGATTTCTGTAGGCGGCGGTGGTGGTGGCGGCGGCGGCGGCGGTGGCGCGGCGGCACCGGCTGCCGAGGAGAAGAAGGTGGAGGAGGAGGAAGAGGAGGAGATCGACATGGGCGGGGGCATGGACATGTTCGGCGGCGGTGAGTGAATCGCATCTGAATCGTTGTAATGTTTCCGCAAAATACCCAACAACACAAATTATAAAATGAAAAAAACACACACAGCTTAGGCCATTCGATCTGCTCATTTTGCTCAGTTCAACTCGGAACCCAACCACACAAATTATAAAATATAGAAACGCACACACACATTTTCCATTCGATCTGCTCATTTCGCTCAGTTTCAACTCCGCTTGCTGTATAGTCCTGGGAACCGTACGCCACCTCAGGGTGGGGTTTGGGTTTGGCGTGTCGGGAGCAAACGGACAATCTTGAGAGTACGTAGGGTGGAGTCAAGAGGTGTTTGGGGGCTTGCTGGTCTTGGTGTTTGGTGTGACATCGGGAGGGCGTAGAGAAAAATCTCGAGAAGCACAGTGTCATAGGCTCAAAAGTGTAGAGATGACATCCATCGTCCACGTGTAGCCTTCCCGAGTCGGGATTTTCCTGTCATACAAGTGTTATTTTTGTAGGTTTAGGCTGTTCAACCTACAGAACACCATGCCACCCTCTCCTCGCTCGTCGTCCGACCCACCCCTTTTTTTTTGTCCGGTTGGTTGTTGAGCCCTCGTCGGTTGTGGTGGCTTTTTTAATGCCCCGGGTAGTTGTTTGAATTTGCACCGGTGTTAACTTGCAAGTGTGCGTGTGGTTGGAGCCATTGCTGAGACATGCGCCAATTGCTTTCGTGACTTGACGCTCTTGCCGTCGCGCGTGCCAGTAGAGTGTTGCTGTGTTTCGCGTCAGCAAGAACAATCCCTCCTCGCTCGCGGAAACCGCTGCTCTCGTTCGACCTGTGTTGCACTCCACTCCCCTAGGCATGAAACCGTTGCATCATTCCTGACCCCCCCCCGCCCCCCCCCTGTTGCCGACCTCTTCGGCTTTTACCATCGCTTGGTTGCTTCCAACTGCACCAGGTGACGAAGGCGGAGGAGACTACTAAGCGTCTCTTGATGCTGGTCGTTCCTCCGCATGCCCGCGGTCGCGTTCAGTCGCAGCTTCCTTCCTGCGCGTCTCCTGGACGTCGTGGACGACTGGCTAAACAACTGGTTTGCGACCGCGCAGCCGTGTGGCGAAAGTGACCATTGTGGTGGCTTTCCTGGAATTCTGCGCCTAGTAGCGGGGTGCAATTCCTCCTGGTTCGCAGACGAACGTCGTCTCGGCTTGTTGCGATGTGGCGCTACGTTGGCCTTTTTGGCTAGCGTGTGTGTGGCGGCAAGCCGGCTTCGAGATTGGGCGGTGCTTGGTGTCGAAAGCATGAGGCTCGTAGCTCTTTTGAGTCGGGTAGTGGCGCGGCTGCTGGTAGTTAGCTCTTGCCGGCTGCGTCTGTTGCCTGCCTTCGCTGCTGCGAGGCTGATGAAGCTACGGGAGCAAAATAACAATGGTTGAACACCCATCGCGACGTGTACGTGTCGTCGACCCCTGGGGCCCAAAGGTGAAACTTGAGGGTCTTGTTTCTGCTTTTGAGGTCATGGGGGGAGATCCCGAAAACCGGTATATTTCTGCACTCCCCTCTCGTGCTCTGGAGAAGTTAACGGTAATCCCGGCCGACGTTTTCGTCGTTTTGTTACCACCGACACGATGTGCACCTTCTCCTACCTGCCTTCCGATGCGTTTTGCGTTACGGTCTATCTTTGGGGCTGAACACGGTCGGCACGCCGCATGTCCCGTTTGATTTTTCTGTCAAACGCGTCCGAAAGCCAGTGTCGATGGTCCTCTTCTCCACGTCATTTGGCTTTGGCATGTTGCTTGACACCAGTCGGGCTCTGTGTTACACTCTGCGAAATGGGGGTGCTTACTTGAATAACAGCCCGACACCGCACAGCTTTGATACCCTACAATATGCGTCATTGATGGGCACTTGCGCCAGGCCCGACAGACATGATACATGCCGTGGTGTGGTGCAATGTGCGGTGTAACTGTCTAGATATTTGGTTTGCAAGTTACCGTGCCGCCGGCAATTTCCGTCGCACGATGTAGATAATCAAACCGTCGCAATGTTCTTCTCGAGGTCTATCGGACGACCACGAATATTTCGACCGAAGCCCACGAGCGGCATTGGCGGGTGTTAGGCGTAGACACAAGTGGTCATGTACAAATTTCTCGCCGCCGGCTCTTCGCTTGCGTTGCTCATGTTTCGTCGAACCATGACAACGAGGCATAGATGCATACATGCGTGAGTTATCTCTCGGGCTCAAACCAGCCGCTTCGTGTTGCAACATATGGTAGTTTTCAGCATCCTCCCCAGCGTACACCACGTCAAAATCTAAGTAAACAGATACAGATACAGATAGATACCACACGTACTTGCATCGTCCAACCGCTGAATAGGCGTGGAAGAAACGGAAATGAAGATCGCTAGTGTACACATTCACGCACAGACGATGCAACGACAGGCAACAAACAACACAACGTGAAGCCCCGTGGGTTCGTTCGCCATGACTCACTCAATCAAGGAAAGGAAGCGGAGGGCCAGGTCGAACCTAGCTCTCGCTAACAAACAAACAAAAAACTCACAATATCCCTACCAAAACAATACTCAAAGGTTACGCCGACGTCGTCGCGGTCTTATTTCTTCGGGCGACCGCCATGAGGGACAGGATCTCGAAGACGATGTTTGCTCCCAGTTGGGCCGTTATGTCTGGCAGAGGAAGCAAGAATGATAGGACGAAGGAGAGACGTTGGAACGATAGATAGCCCAGCCTTCAGACCTCTTGGGTCAACATCACAGAGAGGTGGTGAGCTCCTCTTGCACTGGTGTACTAGCATGGTAAGAAAAAATGATAGTTATCGAAGTCGAAATCAAACCAAGAGACTAGCCAGCGCTGACTAGCCTAATGGTTTGATTTCGGCTTGGTTTGATTTCGGCTTCTTTATAGTGCATACAGTCGCCTGGCCTATTGCGAAGGTGTACCGATTCTGGTAAGAGTCAATCGACGGATACCCTGCGAATCGGGTCCTCCTTAACACTCTCCACCCACAGAATTTACCCTCAACTGGGAACGAACCTCTTGTGGCCAGACGGGTAATTCGATGGAAGTGTCACAAGGTTCTTTGTAGGATCGACTCCAAGAGGTACTCTCAGGACTGACACACATTTGTGTCCATAGGAAAAATGTCCAAGTCACGAGAAAAATGTGCACCCAAGGAAATTCGAACCAGTATCCTGCTGACGCCATACGCGAAGGTGCACCGATCCCGGTAAAAGTCAACCCACGGATACCCTGGGAATCGGGTCCTCCTTAACACTATGGGCTGTAGACTAGAGAGCCTACGGACTAACAATGGTCTGAACGGAGTTCTTCCTCTCTCACCCGCATGGTCGTACGCGGGCGCCACCTCAACCACATCCCCGGACACGATGTTGAGACCCTTCATGGATCGAAGGAGCCGGATCAACTCCCGAGACGAAAAGCCACCCACCTGTGTGAAGCCAAGAGAAAGGTAAAACATGAAATATAAATACTAATATTCTGACCGTGGAAGACTTAGGCTCACAATCAAGAGCATTCTTCGTCCAGTCCAGTCTGGTCGAAAATAACGTTTCAAGGTTCTGAAAGAACAACCCGGGAGAAAAACATCAACCAAGTCTTGTCGCAGCGTAGTACGCAGATCGTGCTCACCCCCCATGAGAGGGGGCGACGGTTGTGGGTGTTGCAAGCGTTGAGTTCTCATACGCGGGGGGAGGGGGGATGACTTCAAGACACGTTTTATGTGTTCGTGGATGGATGTGTAGGCTGCCGGGAGACTGATCCTTGGGTTGTAACGACTTAAGTTGGACGCGTGCGCCCCGTTTCATGGACGATTGCTTCGCGACGAACGAACATTTGTCGGGAAGCCAGAAAAACAGCAAATTCCTCCGCTTCCAAGCTCCACAACATTCCCCGACAATCAATTTAGGTTCCCCCCGTGCTATTATAGCATGCTTTCGTGAAGGTGTCGTTCTGTTGCCCACAATGTATTGTATCTCCCTTTGAGCATAAATTTCTTTGCGCCCGATACATGGGAAGACAAAAGTCTGAGGAAGTAGGCTTCGCAAAATATGCCGATGAACCTCTTGTACCGATAGCGATCTCTGGGCAACACAGCGCTGATGACAGGGATGGTAACCCTGGGGGACGTGTGTTATTGGCTGCAAAGCCAGACTGGACGTGGGCATCAACTTTGTTGAGAAGCACGATGACCACTTGACCACGAGTCAGCGCTGACTATTTAGTGGTGGAGTGGTCATCGTGCTTCTCAACAGTACATACATGTGACCTGTCCTGGCGACAAAGAAGTAGCAGTGCGCTCCAACACGATGACTTTCCACCAACGCACGTTAAACCTTTACAAAAAAAAGTCTCTTCAACACGCTGAACGTCGTAACGACCCGCGCTAAACCTGTGCACACCGAGGACCATTACTTACCTCGGGTGTTCCGGTTCCGGGAGCAAACGCCGGATCGGCGACGTCAATGTCCAAGCTCAGGTACACCGGGCCGGTGCCGACTCTGTTCTTGATCTTGTTGGCCACCCAGTCGAAACCATTGTCGTCAAGCTCGGAGCAGAAGATTGTCTTCATGCCCTGTGTTGGCGGCAATCAGATCGGGTCAGATCATGGAAAACGCGGTGTGTTAAAAGCTGTGCCCGTGAAATGCTTCATTCGGCACGGAGTAGAACATCTTCCGTAGAACAACCTCCATGTTGCCCTGAACATTGCGGCGGATCACATGTTTTTTTACTCAAAACCTCACCAACTGCTCGTCGGCGACGATATCTTCGTGGTCGTTGACCGATCCCCGGATGCCAACGTGCATCGATCTGGACGTGTCGATAAGCCCGTCGTCGATGGCCTACACGCGAGTGGGTTGTTTTGGGATGTTGGGCGGTATTTTCGGGGTGTCAAGACACGTAGCTGACACAAGGGTGCACGAAAAAAGCATTTCTTGCTTTCTTGATTCCGACCTCTCTAACACGTAGTGTGCACACTTAGCTGACAAAGAAACAAACAAAAGGCAAGAATCATAAAAAGGAGACGGCAGGTGAGCCTTTCGGGCAAGGCAGGAGAACCTTCTGGGTATGGTTGCGACATGCGAGACGGGAGACCTGGTGGCACACAGGCAACATGCAGCCAGCGCTAACACCGCACACAGAGAATCGTGGGGGAGCTATCTTCGGCTAAACAAGCCACTCAAAGTAGAACGACGCGCACTGCACTGCACTCATGAAAGAGGTGTCTGGGACAAAACAACAATGAGAGGTCCATGATGGGTGCAACATCGACACACGCGAATCGCACGGCACGTATGATGAAACGAGCTGCCACATTCATGGTGATAGGTTCATGGTGGTGCAACATCCTTTGTCGCTGACTCACCCGCTTGAAGGGGGTCCCGTGTGTGCACTTCTCCCCGAAGTACTCGTCCCACGTATCGAAGTGGCTGTCGAAGTGCACCAGAGACACCGGCCCGAACTTGTCGCTGATAGCCTACATTGCATGTTGTTGTTGTTGTTGTTGTTTTTGTTGTTGTTGTGGTTGTGGTGTTGTGGTATTGTTGTTGTTGTGACATTAGAAAATCGTTCCGATCTCCGCTCAGTACCTTCCAATACCCGTACCATTGACTGGTCCAACTGACACGGACGCCTTACGTGGTCACATACCCAACAGAGGGTTACACCTTTCAAGGAATCAAAGACGTGTGGCATAAAAAGTAGATGCAGGCAGAATGTGTTCGGAAGCTGAGATGGATGTGTCAACAAATGGTTGGCGCATTCCATCAAGACGCTCGGTGTCACTGAAGGTGCTGAGCCCTTTCCTACCAAGCACGCGCGCACGCCGAAGAAGCTCAAACGCCAATCGCTGTGCGCAATGAAACCGAGAAACAAGAACCGAGCGACGGCCTTGACAAGGGGTAGTATCGACACCCTTACAAGAGTGCTGTCTCAAGCACGGCAAAAGGTAGACATCACAGCACAACGTTAAAGCAAACCGCTCCTGATCTCGAGCGACGGCCTTGACAAGGGGCAGTATCGATACCCTTACAAGAGTGCTGTCTCAAGCACGGCAATACGTAGACATCACAGCACAACAATCAACAAGTAGTGCACCGCTCCTGCGTGGCCTTCTCTTCGTCCTATGTGACCCTAGCTGGTGCATCCATATAGTCGTACCGAACGGTTCAAGGACTGACGAAGAATACATCGGATGGCGAGAAAAGTAAAAAAAAAAACACATACACGCACTTAGTTTTTAGCCTCCTCAATGACGCTCCTTCGCGGTTTCCCAGATCATGGCCATTAACAACATTCAGCTGCACTGAGGCTGACGTCTTTTCGTCTGTCAGCCGGTTAGCGCGGTCGACGCTAAAACCAAAGACACACACACCACACAGGAAAAGCTTCCTTCCCCCGAGAGAGCGGGTGCTTCTTGGGGATGTGGGGGGCCGGAAAGTTCCCCACAACGTCGAAGTTTCCACGAGGTGTTTCTATAAAGTACGAAATCCCAGAGCATCCCCCCCCCAGGCACATCCCTGGTGCTACGGAGACCCCCCCTCCCCATCTACGGAGATCGTGTCACCTTGAGGGACGGGTAGGAGATGGTGTGGTCCCCGCCGATGATAACCACGCCGTCGCATCGACCAAGGACGTTTCCCACCCCCGTAGAGATTTCGTCGATCGCCTGTGCATGGTGGCGCACGCATAAGTCCCACGAGATCAGTTCAAAAGCCAACCACCAGCGGTCCTGACAACACAGGCGGGGCAGCATCTCACGAAGTACCAGTACATCTATCCATGTGCTAGCCAAAGTTTTGCGGGGTCCTTCCGGAAACTGCGTCTGCTCTACCCGTGCAGGGTACGATTTTGGGTCTTCCTGCAAGCACGTAATTATGAACCAAAATGGTCAGCGTATCACCCGAATATTCGGAGAGATAAGCCGCAAGTGCCGTATCATGCTGTGGTCGAATCATGTACATGTAAGCGCGACGGTTACGCCTCCACGAAAAGGGTAAAGTATGGCACACCACACCATACCGCAAAAAAAAAAGGGCAGACACGAGGAAAGGGCCAGAAATGCATCGCATACATGCAGGCTGTTGAAATGAAAGTGTCGTCACAGCAGTACTACTGCTGTGCTATGTGTGCGTTACATCATGTCCGCGCACTTTCGGGATGTTGAAGGGGTTGCACGGGATGTCTCCGTAGTCCACCACCTGCATGTCACGGAAAGGGTACACCTCCGTGCCCATGTTGTACCTGTGCATGGGGTGTTTTCATGGGCAAGAGAGGGGGGTAAAAGCGCCGTCTAGGGTGTGGGCATGCGTACACAACCCGTCGGCAACGTAGGTGACTTCCGTGTAGCAGCATGCAAAGAGATTGCAAAAAAAAAACAAAACACACTAACACATGCCATCAACAAAGAATAACCCACCTGAAAGCCCAACGAGATGTGTTGATTTCCTATGCAGCGGACGTGCAGCGTGACGTTTCCACAAAAGAGCACCCGAAACTCGGAGGAGCGACCCGCATGGGCACGGTCAACTTCTCCTGCTGCATGGAAAAGTAAGTCTAGCAACACGTAAACAAGCCAAGAAACCGTGCCCCACCTAAACAGAAAACAGTATCCAGGATTCCCATCTGTGGATAAAAATGGGCTCGCTGTGTTATGTTCAGGAAACAATAAGAAGTACCCATAGTGTAACCTAATTCGATGGCTGCTGAGGTGCAGGGTAAACGACCACTAAAATCTCACCGTCGAATAAGACGAGAAGCACATCGGATGGCCTCGGGGCCGAAGCGCGCGCCGGGGCGGTAGGTGCAGCCAGCGTCGAACGGGATGCCGACCACCGCCACGTCGAAGTTAGAAACCTAAGGAGGCGTTTTTGTCATTGAAGGTTCGGCGGCAAGTACATCCAGAACGCTTAGAGAGCATGCGCCGAAGAGAGAGAGAGAGAGACAATAGAAAACTGATGCATACGTGCGTCCTGCCCAAAACCAACAACTTAACAAATATAAGCACAAAATGTAAATTACCCCCCCCCCCCCAATAGTATTCCGTCCCGGCTTTGTAGGGATGCGAGGTCAATGGTCTAACGACTACGGCATGCGTTGACAAGAGTACCCCCCCAAATACAGCGATATCCTGTACTGTTCATGTGCGAGAAGACGATGGAATGGCGATGCGGTGTCATAGGCATGTAATGTGGCGGCGATCGCTTGGTATTGTGTTGCTGTCTTCAGAGTAAAAACCGTTCCGGTCTCTGTTCAGCAGTACGCGGACGCGTTCCGTAAGCTGCAAGTGTTTCTTCTTGTGGCACGTACAAACACCATGACGCGGTGCCATGACGCGGTGTTAAACTCGCCTACAACAGTTACCCGGCATCAGGAATGAACTTTCAAGGTCACCAGATTCCGAAAAAGGCCAACCATCGAGGTTGCTGGAGTTGGCAAAAGTCGTTGTCTACTCTAAAAGCAGTATATACATCTAAACAGAAACAGGAAAGCTTGCCTCGTGGATGCTCGGGAGGCGAGCGTACGTCGAGAACCCGCAGTAGCGGGGGTACACGTGGGGGTCCGGCTGTCCAACCTTGCCGGCCTCTGACACCACTCCTGCTCGTCGTGTGTCGCACGGCGGTTGGGCAGGCGGATATACGGCGAGGGAAACCGTAACTGTCTGTGAAGCGTGTCATGCACTCCAATCAGAATATACACACGTTAACAGAGGAACGCCAAAACGCGAACACACGCTGCATGCAGTAGATAAAACATTCACGTCCCGAAATGGTCCCGGGACTTTTCGGAGCCGTCGGCAAGGCCAAACTTAAATATTTAGCCAACCATAGCTTCAGGGCTCTGGTTCGGCGGACATCCGCTGGGGCTCCTCGGCCTTCCGACCAAACGTGGCTTTCCTGTTCCCGCGCGACGGCACGGAGAGAGGTAACCTACTGTAACTGCACGCGCACGTGGGTGGTTCTCCATCGCGATGCTGCAGCCGTTCTGTGAAATGTGGTCAAACAAAACTATCGATGACTTGCCGGTGTGCTCGGATCGAAGGTCGGAGAGTAGAGCACGTCAAGGAGGTTCTTCCTCAGAGGGAAAATAAAGGTGGAGCTATGATACATGGGGGTAGAGGTATGCATAGGTGCGATGAGAACTGTTTTTCTTCTTCTGCGGCACCTAGAGGGGTCCGATCTGGAACAACTATACAGCAGTTGAGCCTCCTCCCTTCTGTACGAGAAAATGGCGTGTTGGATGTAACACAAGCCTGCAACCCGCGACACAGCAGCTGACACCAATCATGTTCTAGATGCCACTTGAAGTTGGTCGGGACGCCCTGTCCTGCAGCCGTGCTTCGAACCCCGGAGGCGCAAACTAAAGGATCCTAGCCCGGAAGACGATCCAAAACATGTGGTCGACATTTCGGTTTAATTCTCGCCTTGCACTGGGCGGTACCGGCGACGCCATGTCCTCAGGATCCGGCCCCTTGAAGCAGACATGACAACCACATCAACTACAGAGTCCACGCCAACCCCGTCGCCAGCCACACCCACACTCACGTGTTGTTTCGCCGCCAACCGCACCGTCAAATGCCGGAGCTCCTGCTGAGGCTGTTCCCTTGACTCCCTCGGACTCACTCGCACCCTTGGCCGCCTTGCCATTCCCCATGCCGTTGCAGCACGCGCCAGCTGGCGCGGCATCCGCCGAAGTATTCATCACCAGCTGAGTAGAAGAGGAGGACATGACCGAACCGTAGACGACACGAATTCCTCCTCGTTAGCGCTGGGAGGAGAGAGGAGACGGAGAAGGGAAGGCGGAAGGCGGAGAGGACGGGGAGAGGGAAGAGGTGTGGCTACTGTGTGAGGGGGGCCACCTCCGGTTTATCACACGGGATCTTGCGAACTTAAATCTTGAACAGTTTAGATTGGAGATTGGAGATTCGAGCTTGGGACTGAACTTGCCGAACCAGCGTCGATTAGGCCGCTTTTGCTTCCTAAAAACACATGTGGGTACTGCTGTTGGACATGGGTAACACCAGCCCCCCACCTTGACATGGGCCTCATCACCCGTCTATGACTCGCGACCCGGAGGCGCACCATACTGAACCGGTGCAATGCGATTGCGACAGCGCTGCCTTCTGCCTTTCTGCTCCCAAGTTGTTACCCCCCGCAAACAAACAAATTGGAAAGGAGGGGGGGGGGGGGGTACATAGGGAATCCCGCCGCCCCTGGGCAGCTTCTTGCACCTTCTCGTGTTTTCGCTTGGTTGGGTCAAAAATCTGCACCGAGGCAGCTGTCCTGGTTAGCTCTGGAGACGAGATACAGACGTACTTAGCTCGGACAACCCCGCAACGCCATACCATGCAGAACCTGGCGATGGCCAAGCGAAGAGCTTCCGTGATTATCTCCACAACAGTAGCCGCGTGCTGGTGCCTGCAGCTCCTCTGCAAAATCCCAACGGCGACGGCGGGGGCAACGGCGCAGACGGGGGCGAGAAGAACACTGTACTACCAGGACACGGGGTGCAGATTGGAGACCTTCCGAGAGTTTGCCTACGAGGTCATGTCGATAGAGTCGGACGGCTCCGACAGTCAAGGTAACGGGAAACTCCATCAACGTTGCCTGCCAGCAACCTTTTGCCGCACATTTTTTTGGCCGTTGATGCTTTTTTCTCGACAGGAAAGCGCAAAGCTTGGGAGCCAAGAAAAAGCGCTTTTTTCACAGCAGTACTGCTGTAAATGTAGTCGGGTGCGAAACACGCTACGGGTTAGGTGCCCCTGGTTCAAGTCGGCACCTGAAGTGCTGCCCAAGGGTGCTGTGCCATCATCAGTTCATTCCTGCACGAGCTACACTACGACGATCGTGTTTTTGAATGGGTCCTCTGACGACAGAGCCGCCTGCAGAGAACAGCAGCAAGCAGCTGCACCCGGGCAGAGCGAAACAGGGCAGGTGTTTGACACATGCCCGCGCTGATTGATGGAGGCCCACGTTCACCGATGACCGCATTCCATACGACCCCATCTCGAATCATATGTGACATGTTTCTCTGCCTCCTTTGCGCACTCGTTAGTTGGAGCATTGCGTCCGGCGCAAAGCAGTCAGCTGCGGCTGTCCGACACAGCTTGCGCTCATTCTCGAAGATGCTCCGCCCTTCCGCCCAGTTCCTCCACAGGCCAATTTATTAAATTTGTGCTGTATGCATAGAGGTGCCTGTTTTTACCACTGGGAAGCACCACTGCTGTATTTTGCTCGAAGATCAGTAGGAGCACAGATAGGTCATGTGTTACTGTACTATAAACTCATTGCTAGGTGTCCTAAACTCTACCGGAGAGAGACGAATATTTTGTCTCGCGATCCTCGGCCCAAAACAGCATAGCATGGCCATGGCAAAATAGCCTTCATCTGCTTCTCCTGTGGCGGTCGAAGGCATTCTGAGGCTGGGTCGTTGTTTGCATGGATTCTTATTTGCGTCTGGACCTCGTTGCACAACGTCGGCACAAATCCATATCTTTGCCCGTACAGCAGTGGTACAAAGCTGCATGTGTAGTGCCAATGATTGTTGGCTGGCCTTACACATCAGGCACCCAGCAGCATTCGAGTGTAAGACAACTTGGGCATTGGGTATTTATTTTCCTAATTCCATCTTGCCACGCGATTTCACCGGCCTTGTACAAGGCGACCAGCCTCAGTTAATGTGCCCCTATGCTTATGCAGGACCAATTCTCCGCCGTAAATCGACAGAGTCGGCCGTGTCAATGCTGGACTAAGGATAACAGCTGGGTGCGGAACGTATGTGGAAACAATGCCTTGTTTCCGGGAGATTCAGGCCAAGGCGTCTGGAAAGCGCAAGCTAACTTGTAAGCAATTCCGATGGAAGTTTGTTTGCGATAACACCACATATTGTGATCAACACTCCACTCTCACCGATCCCCCACCTCCCCTATCCCTCAACGGCCGTTCTCCCCCCGTGAAAACGGTAAACTATATGTATATATATATATTTTTTTTTTCAGTGGGCTTTGGGGAGTGCTACGCTAGGGGAAGCACGGGGGCCATCACCACGTGCGACCCAACCGATGGGACGAGCACCGTCGAGACGTACCTCGACACGGCGTGCCAGATCCACCTTTACAGCTCCAAGGACAGCCTCGAGTGCGTTGACCTCAGGGTGGATGGAGAGACGTGCCCGCCAGGGGGACCGGGGTCTATGGCTTCGGATTGCATCTCCGAGGGTGAGAGGGAGGGGGGGGAGCGGGGGGTTGCATGCCTTGGCGGTTAGACCACTGACCACACGTCCTCCAGAGGACGGAGCATTGTTCCCACACAACCGGCGGCCAACCGTTCCTTCCTACTTTACCAAAGGGTGGCTTAATAATGTTTTCCCAGAGCACACATATCCTATCAGATACTCATGATGTATTGCATGTTTTTTTAGCGGTTAGACCGCTGACCACGCGTCCTCGAGAAGACGGAGAATTGTTCCCATACCGAGAGGGGTGTACTCATGAAAATGATGTAAACGCATGCCGTAGTCGTTAGACCGTTGACCTCGCATCCCTACATCGCCGGGACAGAGCGATATGCCGGGTTTTCGCCGGCCCATGCTACGAATCATTCCGGTGTGCCCTCCCTTGTTAAAAATTTCTGCACCGGCCTACACGTATCCCTCACAAGTTGTGCTCCAAGGTGATGAGAACGGGAAGGAGATGCTGAATATGAAAACCAGAGCAGTTGTCGTACACATGAACGCATCAGCAACGCTACACGAGATTTTTTTGTGCGCGGCTTGTTTCTTGCCCCCCCTCTACACCTTGCTCTGAATACCTCTCTGCCCCCCCCCTCACGTATGTGCGCGGTTCAACACCTTTGACGAACAGACCCGATCGACACGATCACCCCCGGCACCTTCAACCTGATTGGCTCGCCGTACAGCGACCCGTTCTGTGAGGAGCGCACGGGGGGAGATCACATCGTCTCGGGCAACGCGTTCGGTATCGGTAACGGGGAGTGCTCCCTGTCGCCGCTTGTGAGAGGGCCGCGGTATGCCCTGACGGAGTGCGATACGGAAACCAACATGGTGTTAGCTCAGGTGTGCTACGTACACTGGAGGGGAAACAATACGGTAGTTGCACCGAGATTATCCCGGTGCGATCCAGTCCATTTCATCGGCATTATTGTGGGCAACCGGCATTATTCAGAGCATGAAACAACTTGAATATTACATTTGTGCCAGTCGATTTTCACCGGCATTGTACATGTCGCCCCGGTGGTCTAGTTGGTATCCTCGAAACCTTCTAGAGGTCAGGTCAGGGGTTCGAATCTCGGCGTAAGCGAGCTTTTCTTGCAAAGTGAGTTCTCTCGCTTCCGCTTCTGGCCTTGTGGATAGCGCTAGTTCGTGTGTACACAGAGGGAAGAGAGTGCTGAACTCTTCTCGCATTAAAAATCGAAGGCAAAGTACCGCAGGAGGGGAGGGTAGAGAGGGGCTCTTCTGTGTGACCACGGGTTGGAGTAAACGGCACTACTAGTGCTGTGAGCGCTCATTTGAAGTGAAGACAAAAAAAAAAAACAGGGCAACGACATTATTCGACTGGCATCATGCCGAGACCAATACTGTAAATATATATTTTAAACATCTCGGTTTTGTGTGTTGGTCGTAGTTTTTGCTAACCACGGTATTGGCTCAGGTATGTCAGGAGGGATGTGACAAGGGTCAGAATATTGAAGGAGTACATAACGCAAACCGCTGTTTGTCGAAAAACCGATCAAATGGCCATGTCGTTTGTTTATGAAGGTGCACTAAAAAAATGAAGTGCACGTCAAAGGGTGTGTCGAAGAAAAACGTGAAACTACAGCAGTAGTCATTGAGGGCATGTCGGTGTCGTCCGTGTTGTGTCTTTCTTGGGCGTATTTAGTCGGCAATTGATGTATGGTGTGCGTTCGTTTTTGTTGGTTCTGGCCTGTAGAGCTTTTACCGCTCGGTTTTTGTGTTTTTTTGAATGCTCGTCTCGAGCGTGCCGGCCCCCTGGCGCTACAAAGCAGATAGTTTTGCATCACCATCAAACGTGAAACGGTTGACGGCAAGGAGTGTGCCGCCCATCGTTGGTAGGCCTGTACTCCGTAGGCGATTCCCTTATATTTTTGATGTCGGTTTTTGTTTTCTGCCTATATACTGAAAAATAGAGGGGAGAAAAATTTAGTGTGTCTAAATCGCAATGGCGTACATGCGGAGTACTGGCCTAATCGTTGGTTGATTGTTGCGTAGCCCTAGGTGTTTAGAAAATATACATACAACCAAAAACAGACTACGCTTTCGAGTAAATACCACAGCCAGTCGATGGGGATGGGTTGAAGTCTTTGGTGCTGCAATGCTAGGTCTAGAACACTCGGTGTGTAGATGGTAGCTATCTTCAACGGCATGCGGAAAGCAGCACCAATGGCGCCACTGCCAACAACACCGACAAACACATGAACAACGAAAGCATTACCAACAAGACATCGCATACATACGCAACATGTGGGTACAACAAGCAATGAGACACCACACGGACACGAACATCAACATTCCACAGGTGTTCAGCCCGGAAGATAGCACGTGCAGCGGAGACACTCGGTTGGAGATGATCATGTTTGCGAGGGCTGTCGACAATGACACCAACGGGGGCATGTGTGCCAAGGGGCATTTCGAGGATGGGCATGAGGAGTACTACCGGTGAGAGCGAAAGAGATAGAACGAGAGAGAACGAGGTGACCTCGCATGCCTGGTAAGCCGGGACGGAAACGCAGTC